ACTCACAAGCAATGGTAATGTTTTTTTTCCTTCGATTTGCTTGTAGGTATAAGTACGATTAGCGCACGAGGTGGCAATTATTTTCGCGAATGGACACAAATTAAACAAGTGGTAGCCAAACATTGTAGCATATTTTTAATGGCGTGATGCGCGCGTACCCGTAGCCCTTACCAACTAGTGCTATCGTAAAGAAGGTAGAAAAGCAATTACTCATTGGACTTTTGACCCCATTACGCGGCCGTAAAATCTTTACACGACCAACCATCAGTTTCGGTTTGAGTTACCGCGCGCCGGTCGCGGAGGAGAACGCCAAAGTTGCTGAGCGATTCTCGCGAAACGCGTCGTAAACTTTGAGGTTTTGCTGCGTGCACCTTTCGTCTAGCAGCGCCAATGCGCATGCAAAGCGCCAAGTTTACGATGACGCGAAATAGAATTGCGAGGCGTTTTTCGGCGCGGCAAACGCTGCTAATGTGTTATTCATACAAGTTTGTAATTATTCCGCCATTAGGTGTAAAATTTGCAAAGACAATTTATACTTATTCTTAAATACATAAATATGAACGTAATTTCAATCAAGTGGCAATTAAAATTGAATGATTTTCTTGCATTTTCTCACCTTTTCTGCTTCGCCAGAAAACTCATACATGGTAAAGAATCGTGACTGTCGATGACTTATAAATACAAGACACACACACATAGAGCCATAGAACGGACACGGCGCGCACATGAAGAAATAATCGTTGGCGTTTATTAGTTAATAAATAATAGGACAAAGTATAATCAGTTGTGACAGGCAACAAAATTGCTTAAGAGGAACGAATACGAATTATGCGAATGATGCCGATGATTTCACAGAACCTCTTCGAGTAATTTCGCGGCCAAATTCTCTTATTATCCAATTCAATACTATTACAACACTGTGTCGCACTTATTTCGGCGCGACTGTACGGAAATAACGGTAACGCAATCGAAAATCAGTTAGACAAGCGAGTTTGCGCTTAATTCGTGCAACACGGTTTGGGCGGTGGACATCAGACCATTCTAAATGACAAATTCGTGTACCCCAAAGAAGATTATACTTACATTAAGTTTAAAATCACCCAAAAACTGTTGGAAGTTATCACAGCACTCACAAAACGCACAAAAGGCGGAATAATTCTGTCAAACTTGGGTTACGAAGTGCTGCGCATGCGCAGAATCAGCGCCGCAGATGTCAAAATTCAAATTTCAAAACGATAATGTTTTAATTAAAATTTATACGAGACGAATAAGTGTTGTTGCAGAACAACGACAAACGCTTTGGATACTCTCGGCTTGAAATTCAACAAAGCGTGAAGAGTAAAGCACGAATTTTCAACGCATAATAGCGGCTCGGCATGGTCATTACAAGGAGTGCCCTTTGCGCTGGCTTCAAACTGGCGAACGTTGATTGCCCATCAATTACGGGTTTCCTTTCGGTGACGTCACTCGTTTTCCGGTGCTTATCCTTAGTTTTTTTGTCGAGCACTCAAAAAGGATTCTCGTTTGCATATTGCACGCGCGACAATCGCGCCTCAATAACGACGCGTAACAACTCGTAATTAATGTCTTGCGTTATGATAAACAATTTTATACGGCTAATTAACTTAGCATCACGCACCATTTTTAACCAATTTGCGATTTGTGTTTCGTTCTGGTGCTTCGTGTTGTGTGCTCGTTTCGAAAACGAACGGAGATGTTGTTACAGCCCCGAAATTACGTAAGTGCTTCGTTAATTATCATTACAATGAGCCAGATATGGTGGACGTAGCGAAATGACTTTAATTAGCGGCGTGTGAGTGTATGTGTGTGTATCTCGGCAACAAATTGAAGCACTTTAGATACGAGTATTTCGTATGTGTGCACGATGCCGCAATTTCAACTCCGCCTACTGGTCCCAAACGCCAAAAAATGATAAACTATCATTATTAATGCTGTACGATTGTGAATAACAAGGTTGAAAAACCAACATTTTGACCCAATGATGATTGATGATGGCGACAAATCATTGTCGAGATTTTTGATCCGAAGCACGGAACCATTTTGTTGTTAATGTACATTAAGTGTACACGTAAAGTGATGGCGATGGCAGAGAGTTGTATCATTGTTCCGGCCGCATGACGCGTACACGATCAAGGGAACAACTTGTTTAAATCCTACACACATCGAGACGATGAAAACAAATAACTAATCGATTCTGTTCCACACGAATCGAAACTAGTAACATCTAAATCCAAATTTCATCGCTGCGCATTTCACCCAAAATGACCGCAGGCAAAACCAAACCAAGTTAGTAATAATTAATTGATTAATACAAAGGTCCAGATCTATCAGTAATTGAAAATGTTTGTGGTTAAGTTTGGGTGTTGTTCGCCGTAGGCTCACCCCGGAGAATTTTCGACCAGCGTCCCGTTGCGCTGTCTTATGATATAGCGAGCGCAACACAAACCGAAAGCATTTATTGTCGAATGTCTCACCGGTGGACCATCATCATCTCTTCGTATGTGTTGCGCTGTTGCGTCGTGTCTCGTCGCGTACACGTCGGCCGGATTTTGACGTTGCATTCATCAGGGCATCGCGGGGATTGTTAATACAAGAGCAACAACTCCAACATCTGGGGATATCATTATTAATGTTCTCGATTATACAAATTCCTTAAATGTCACTAGTGCCAAGCGATTTGTATGTGTGTGTGTTGCTACATGCTGCAAGTCCTTTATGGCTTTATAAATAAAAATATTTATTTCCCCGTGTTGTGTAATCTGTGTTTGCTGATAAGGATTAATTTTGTGCCGGCGAAACGAAACGCAATAAAAAATAATTGCGGGTTATTTTAATTGAGCGTCTCACTGCGGTTAATTGTCTGAAAAACGCGTCGATAACGCGAATAAAAAACCGAAAATCGTACCTACGTTTAGAAGTCCCTGATGACTTCAAACGTTACCCTTTCATTAAAATCAATAAAATGAAAACAAACAGTAAAATACTTTGTTTAATGATAGCAGTTTAAGTGTTCATAAACTTTCAGCCTACGCTTTTTGGTATAATCATGTGATAATCTCAGCTTCAGTGCTATTACCTACAGTTAAAAGTATCTTAAAAATATAAAATGTGAATTATTTGAAAGTAACTCACCGCTGCAGAAGAAAAAAATGAAGATATTAATAAGCGATCTACTCGAACCGATAAAAACCTTAGCTCAATGCGTCCTTTGCCCGTGAGTTATTTATACGGTATTCTTGTTGGTGCTCTGGCCGAACTCATGTTTCCGTGTAGCATGGCATAAGCGCATATGCGAGCGAAACTATGATTAATTATTGAGGGGCGTGATCGGTGATTGACACAGCGATTGTGAGTCTGCGGGTGGTCAAACCCGGTGCGCACCAACGCAGAGCCGTGCACCTTTACAAGGATTACAAGAGCATCCCTTAATATCCCGCTCTTTATGAACATGCATACAACATTAATGCATTTTCGAGCGACTTGTCGTTGAGTCGCCGGAGTGTGGCAGTGACATGCACCAGCCATACCAACTTTTGATTGATTTTTTTCACTGATGGCCACGGGAAATTTTCTCTGGGTCCCCAGGTTATTAATAAAATCTGTCTAAATCAATTTTTATCTTACAAACAGTAAAAATATTAATACGTGTAATAAATTATCACGATTTATATCAACCATCAAATCGATGCTTTCTAATTGAGAGTGGAGTTATGAAATTTTTATTTTACTGCGCGGAGACATTTCTAATTTGCATTGTTGCAAAGCTGCGTACTTATGATCATTGCCACGCGCATTTCGAAAAGGGTAAAACAATAAATTCTAATGTTTTATTGCGCGTTCCGCGTGCTAGGAGAGAAGCCGCGCGTGGCTTGCGACAACTGACAGTCGAAAGCCTTCAAGAAATTGTTTCTGCCGGGCATCTTATGCGTGCGATCAGCGGGTGGTTGCGCTTAATGCGTTCTGCGCTGCGTGGCTCCTCCACAGTGAGGTAGCCTAGCCGCTGGACATCACACTAAACAAGCGCGCATTCGTAGTTACCTTTATTTGCTTCCAAAATAAATGCAACCAACAACACGCTGGAAAACCGTAAAAATCCCGAGCTGTAAAATCGACGACTTTATATGAAAATGCCAACCGGAGGTGTCTCGCCGCGGTTTTCGACTACCGGCGCATCATCTATAAATTAAGTCGTTTCGTTCTTATGAATAAACAAATGACTTACATACCGCACTCGACGGCAAACGCGCGTGTAATAAATTTGTTAGAGAATACACGAACCGATGCGATGCACGGAACGCAGAGAAAGACATTATTTAATTTCCTGCGTGGCGCATTGTAGAAATAAGTAAACGCTGAGCGCGCACAGCGCGGGTGGATGTAATTAGGTCACTCTTTAAGTTTGACTAGAGGGTGTGTGATGATGTGCACGAGTACCTTTTCGATGCCCCACCTTAAAGCGCAACCGTCGCGGCTAAAACTCACAAAAAAAGTTATGTTTAATGTACCGTGACATCCCTTTCGGACGCGTTTACTACTTAAAAACGCATCCGTCATCGGCCAACTCGTTTTCGATAAACACTTCACAAGCAGTATAATAATTTCTCATTAATAAGACTCTACGAAGGTGATTATTTATTGCACTTTTGGTCAAAAGTGTACGAGCGCGGTTATTTTTCCAACGACCCACCCACGGCAACGACTACTACTTGCCGGAGCGACCACCGCATTATGTGACTTTTAATTTGAATATATTGCGATGGAGTCGTGCGCACCCAAAACGAAATAATAAATTTCGTTTTTATTGGGCACCGCTTTGTTGAAAGTGTCCACACATACTGTCCCTAGATGAAGATTTATCACGCATAATATTTTTTACAAAGTAGTTTATCTTTAATTAGTATCCGCTTATTTCTATCCGCATTGGTTTCTTTTGAGAAATCAGAATAACATAAATTAATTACGGTTTTTGTGTGTTTTAGGTAAGAAGTGGCGTTCTTTGGCACCTTCCGATCGCCGACCGTACGTGGAGGAAGCCGAACGACTACGTGTGATACACATGACAGAACACCCCAACTACAAATACCGGCCGCGTCGCCGTAAGCATAACAAACAAAGAACAGGACCGGGCGCACAGACCGGACCACGAGTAGGTACTTCGCTGCCTTCGCCAGGGTTACCGAATGTTTCGCCAAGATATTCCGGCTACATGCCCAATGCATCTCTCGCCAAGCGCGATTCAGCAGCAGAGTTTTGGCATGGAGAATTATAGCAATCAGGGTAGTAATGAACGCTACAGTCCGTTCCCAGCAAAGTATCCTACCAACCAGCAGACCTACCAAAGCTACTACACCAACTATCAACAAAAGAGTCCCTATACTCTCCACACTCCGGAAACATCTCCGACACATTCCCCGGAACCCAACAAGACTTTAATCAAAACCCCTAAAAGCCCTGAGAATAAAGATTCCAGCGCTGAAGAACCAGTACTACCTACTCCCGAGTTGTCTCCGCTGGAACAAGAGCAGCAGTTTGAGGAGAAGCGTGCGAGTAATATTCAACACACTAGCAGTCCAAATTTCCGAGTTCAGAACTACCATCGCCAGCCGGTGAGCGTCAACTATACTAGTGCACAACCCATTACCTCGGTACCAATGGCCAATGGAATGTATGTGATGTGCGCGAATAAGTCCAGCGTTGAGCAGGGACACGTAGTCACTGGTACATTCTATCCACCGGTTGCAACCTCACAAGATCAGCAACTTTTGGGCACGGGAGCTCCTCAAATCAACACTGTTTCAGTTGCGAGCAACACTCCAAGCACAGTGCACTACTATTCAACTAATCTGGGACAATACTACAACAAAGATGGACACGTAGCTACGCATTACTACAAGGAAGAGATGCCACATCTCATGCAGCAACAGGCACAACAAGACGCTCAGGATAACTTGGTCTATGCCAATACTGGCAATGTGGTGATGCCAAAAGGTGAACAGGATTATGATCTTAGCAATCAATACAAGGTGGATTCCTATGCGTACAACAGTACACTGGTGAACTATATTCCGTCGGCGCATGCCAATAGTCAACCACATCCACCACACCAGTCGTTGGAGGAACGCAGTGACGTCGAAAGCGATGTCGACTCACGTGAATTCGACAAGTATCTTGATAGTAACATAGACTCCAATCATAATTATCATCATCATCGGGTAAACAACGCGCCTGGTAGCAATGAATTGGGTACTACACCGGTATCGAACATGACTACCTACAATTTCCACCAACAAGCTGCTACGACTGTGCAACACACATCGGTGATTCTACCAAACACGAATGTCAAACATGAGTCACCAATGATGGCCGCCCATTATCAGGATATGGTGTATCACCATCCCGAGCTACAAAATGGTAATGTTAAAAACGACGACGATTTCAGCGAGATTCTCGCCGACGTGCGGAAAACTTGTTACAGCAATTGATTTCCGAATTCACTATCATTCCTGGACCGCATTAAAACCAAGTGCAATAATATAATTAGTTCAATCGAACTCACTACATAAGAACGGTGCTAAAGTGAAGTGGACGCAAAACTACATTTATCCAATATAAACTTAATTATTCCACGCAATTATTCCTTTCAAAGTGTAAATATTAAGCATAGAAAACACAAGATCTTTTTTTTTGTAAAAAATATCCTATATTTTCACGATACTGTACATATTTCAATTAAATTTAGGTTTTAGTGTAGAATATATTAAGCAATTCTTTTTTTACTTAGTAGAAATTATCGCAGTAAGTTCTGCACACAAGTAACTTACATTTCAACTTTAGTTAAATTTGACGACGAGTACAAAGTACTTAAAATAATGCAAACTTTTGTTATCGCCGACGCAGCAATACGAAAACTGATTCTCCTCGTTAGTACGTTTTTATATTAAATGTAAAGCCAAAGTGTGTGTGTATGTATATGTTGTATCATATTTGGAAGTACTTGTTTAATTGCACATTATTATTGTAATTTTGTAATTTTATTGATATTTTTGAACATTCTGTATATGCTATGATTACTGTCGTTAGTTCTTACTCGTGTACTTATTTTAACAAACACACTAAATTTTAATTATTATTGATTGAAAAATTTATTATTATAGACATATATGGGCAAAAAATATACAAAACTTTTCATAACACCTGTGCGCCTTTACTTCGACATTGTAATACTTATTTTTAGCTTGTTCTTGGTAAGCAGAAACACACGAAAACAAACAAAGAAAATTAAATGGCAGGTAGGTACAAAGAGCCGCCCAATTTTAATTTAAAACGAAAACACTCCGGCGGAATGCATGATTAGCAAAGCGTGAATTCCACTTTACATCAAATTAAATGAATTAAACGCGTATAGAGAAGAACATGTTCGCCGGGAATTGCAGACGATCCTAGTACAAGGTACCCACTCACCCTTCGGGCTTATCGCCATCGAATCAGGAATGATTATACAAAACGTATAATCTATAATTACTTTCCCATGACGGGTGGCGTTAATATGCACGCGCAGTGAAAATTTCGTCGAGTGACAATATGTGTGCGTCTTCGGGTCGTGGCGTTGTTGTAAATTCGCCGCAATGTACGCGCCGCCGTTCTGCTCGTTGGTGTTTCGTCGAAGAGCCTATAATGAATTATAGATTTGGCTTGCGGTATTTCTCCTCTCCTCCGCGCCGCGTGCGTTATCTTAAAAGAACATCTCCGCATCTATCTCTACTAAATTCAAGAGACGCCTCTCGGTCTCCGCGGTCGTCCGCTTTGGTGACCGCGCGCGCCGACAAAGCGCATGTACGGGGGCTTTCTTTATTTCTGCGGCTCGCGCGCGCGCTCATTGTCAGTAGGCAGAGGCCGCGATGTTTCGATCACGACGACGAGTTATTATCGACGCCGGCGCGAGCTGCGGCCGACGCGTCGTGCGCGTTTAATGAAGTAATAAAAGAAATGCGACAATGGCGAATTTCGTCGAACGCGCGTAAATTTGCCGCGGCTGAATTATAATTATTAGATGCGGACGCTAATAACGCGATTAATAACCCGCGCGATGAGTGGACGCAGCGTTCGGAAAAACGATGCGGTGTTGAAAGAGGCGATTCAGTGCACGTTTTGCGTTTGAGCCATCGGCCGTAGCGGATTCACCGGGCATGAAATATTAACAAATTAATATTAAACGTTTTCGTTTATGTTGTATCAACATGGTTTTACTATTGTTAAGTTTTTACTCCTTGCATAAAATCACAGATTATAGAATAAGCCTCAAAACATTAAAAAAAAAAAAACAAATTTTTTGAAATACCTACATCTTCATTTTATCATTAATTTAATAAATAGGGGAAGGGGGGGGGCAAAATGGGCCCCTGGGGGCAAAGTGGGCCCCCTGAAATTCAGGAGGCTTAAAAAATTGAGGGCCAAAGTGGACCCCCTAAAATTTTTGATATATAAGATGAAGTTGCAAGAACAACTTATCCACAACAAATTCGAAGTAAGAAATAAAAAAAGAAAATAATATAAGCAAAAAATTGATACAAAGGTAAGAGCCTAATTTTTATGAGTGGGGGCCCACTTTGCCCCATATTCTGATTTTTTTTTATTTTGATAGACACGTCTTATTAATATTGAATACTGCACAAGGATGTAAAAAATAGTGTAACGAGTGAAAAAAGGTAAACAAATTCCCTTTTTTCGCTTTTGGGGCCCACTTTGCCCCACCCTCCCCTAAATCGCATGTTGTGTTGCCTATGTTTTAGCTCCAAGACAAATCAAGTTAAGATTATGTTCGAGACAAAAAATACATATAAATAATTTATAAATATACATCTACAAGCACAACACTCCCACGAACAAATGCCCTCGGGCTATCCCTTTAATTATCCGTAAAAAACACACACGCACACACTCGTACAGTACCAAAGTACACGCATGTTATTTTCTTGACCCCGAGCGTAAATTTAAGAACACCTAGCCTCTTGCGCTTAGCGCACATTACGGCCGCGCACCTTAATCTCGAGATTATAATACGCGCGCACCGGAAACCAGCTCGGTAAATCGCTAATTATCATTTCAAAGCGTGTGAATAACGCGTATTTATGGTACCTACATACGCGCGCGCGATATAAAGCAATTTCATTAATTAATGCCAATTTATTTCCTAAATAGATAACGATGGAATAGCGTTGCGGTGGCGCGCGGACCTTTTTATTGTGATAAATTTATGTAGTAGCCGCGATAAGATGAAGACGAGCATAAAAAAAAAACAGCCAACAAAGAAATAGAGTTACGGCATCGTCGACGAGCGCAAAAAACGCAATAAAAAGACACGAGCGCGGGTCCCCATCGGGCCATGGTCTTAGGCACATGTCAGTTTTAGCAGTACGGTAGCGGGTGACAACCTTGCTTCTCTAATATATGTCCTTTAAAGTTCACTAGCTATCGACAATACAGGTATCCGTGGATAAGCAGGTCTGTATCAACGCTAAACGAAATAAATTTATTCAGGTATAAGTTTTCTGGTGATGCTCACGAAAAGCCGTCCCTGTTTGGGCGGCACGAGAAAATCAGAAGAACGACTTGATAGAAAAAAAGAAGAGCCATTCTGGTGGACATTCTGCGCGTGTATATGCGCGATCATATTGTGTGTGTTTGTTATGTATAACCAGTGTGCGCGCATCGGCAAAAGATTTCAGCCGGTATGCGGCGGTCGCGGCGGCGCTGCCCGCTTTCGTTGCGATTCCCGCGACCATAACTCGCGGCGTGGCACTCTTGGCAGGCCGCGCTGCCAAAGCAGCCATCTGACCACGCACCAGGCACGAATCCCTTCTGCCTGTCCAGCCCCGGACCTTCGGACCAGCATTTTCGCCGCCGAGAAACGACTGCACGCGCATATGATACCCGTACACATACCGTTTCGGCTCGAGGAACCGCGGGGCCCGGTGGAAAAGGAGTCACTTATAAAGAATAATATGCGGCGCACTTGTGCCCAGCGCTCGGCATGCGCACGCCGCGGTCACAAATCCGCGCGCGGCCGATATCGAAGACGTCGTCTTTTACCTTCTTCGCGAAGACGACGGCCGAAGGCGAAGGGACACAGGAGCACATACACATATCTCTCCGATGTTATGCCCATACATTACGCGGCGTAGACGTGCGTTTCGACAGGGCACCGCCGCCGCAATGTGGAACGCAAGCAAATCGCAAAGTGGTCAAGTCCTTTGACATCACACCAAACCCGAGATTGCCAATCGTTGTGCGTAACCGGAATTAGTAATACCCGTAAACTTTCGTCAGTTTGACAATAGAATTAGTATTAATTCATAGTAATATCAGTATCAGACGAATTTGTAGCTTGACACTCCAGACTCAAAATGATTTTGTATAAATTAGAGTTGAACTTTGTGCAAACATACGTTGACCATGAAGATTCTAGAGCATATGTAATTGAGAATGCAAAATGTAACTCGAACCATTTGTACACAATTCAATGTCAATTATGTCAGCCGCAAAACTGCCGTCTCAGGCTCCGATCAATCACCTGTCCATGTCCATCAGCCGCAGGATTGAATGATTAATGGGGACAGTTGCACATCTTACATCCTACTACTCAGTCGTTGTACAGTATACAAAAATAACGAGTCTTAATTGTTCCTACGTTAAACGATTTATGACTTGTGTAGTACGTCCAGTTTCAGTTTTAAGTAATTTCAACAAGAAAAATCAATCATATCATATGACAATAAATGTTATAATTGGTTTACGCACCTGTCTGCAATTTGGTTGGAAATCCATTAATCACTTCTGTACTTTATTGGTTTCACATGTAAACTGCTGTGTTGTAACTGTAAAATAATAATATTCCAATGTGTTATTTAACTTTAAAACGGTTTACCGGCTTAATTAGAAGAACAGATTATTATTACAATGAATTTTCAATAATTTAAATCTTACAAAACACTTGTAAACGTCGTTGTTCTCCATAATTTCACAATTCAACATTCTAAATGTTAACCACGAAATGTTAACGTATAAACAACAAAAAATATTTCGAATTTATGTCTTGCATTGTTACTACTTGCGCCCCCTTTGGTGTAAGAATAGAATTATAATATATATAAAAGTTTAATGATGCGGAAATAAGATTTGTCATGCATTTGAAGTAAAATTTAATTTGAATTTTAAAAAATGCTTTCAAAAATAAACTACATACACTTTTGGATTGATTAGTTTCTAGTTTTCAGCACTGCTTTATAACGCTTTCTTTTGTTTTATTCCCCATCTACCGATGAAGCTTTAAACAAACGTTAGACATTTACGTTTCCTTCTCAAAAATCAGCTGTGAAATAGAAGCGATCGCGCTCTTGTGGTACAATGAAAATATACAACGCAAAAAATATGGCTGTCCGTCTGTCATGCGATAACATTTTGTAAATAAAGCAAACGTCCACAGTAGTTTTGCTTGCTGCTAACTCCTGCTTCGCGTCGCGCAAATAAATACCAGTGCAATCAATCTTTAGAGTGGACAATTAATGATCAATTATCCACAATGGCTGAAAGGTAAAATATTTGGGCTTGCTCTACATGTCTCAATAATTTAATGCAATTTGTTATAACAGTAACAGCAGCAACATCAACGACAGTGCCAACGACAATTGGTTCGGATCGTGGTTAACTGCTGCAAAGAATAAAGTAAGTGAATTTTACTATTGTTTAGTTTGGTTTGAGTATATATTTTTAATAATTATAATTCAATGTCAATACTAGAGCTGTGAAGTCTTGGAGTTTGTCAAGAAGGACCTGGAGGAGTTTGGTAGTGTTGTGAAAAATGAAGCCACCAATGTTGTCAGTACAACTGGTAATGCCCTAGAGAAAACTTTGAAGGTATTGGTGACAGAAATAATTTCTGTGGCTTTTTATAACAATTAATTTTAGTTGGATGAGCCTGAATCAACAGTAAACACCATGAAGAGGTCAATAAGTTCATTCCTAGGTAAGTTATAAATGTTTAAACATTAGATGCAAGTTCAGAAAATATTTCTGCCAATGATAATTGTGTTTTGAATCAGCTGAGTTTGTTCTTTTATTAGTAAAAAAGGAATGTTTTTATCTTCTATACTTCATATCTGAATGAATTTTCAGGTCAAATGAACGAAGTCTTAAATCCTAGTCCAGACGATTCCGACACTGAAGCTATAATGGTTGTCGATGGACAAGAAACAGTTCCGTTGACAAAATTACAGGTAAGCTATTTATAAGTAGATTAACCGTCTCAAGGTTACTTATTCTTATCGCACTTTTATTATGAACGAAACTTGTATAAATAATGTTTTGAGCAGCAAGCGATTTACGAACTGCAAAAAAGCGAGAGCACATTTACCGATGATCCTGACGAGTCATCAGTGAAGCAGTATCAATCATGGTTGGAGATTATAGATGATGAACTTTCTGAAGAAAGGTTGAGCAGGCATTTACTTAAGTCTCAGATGTTGAAGGACCAATACACCAGTCTAGTTCCGCTCAAGGTAGAACACGGCGCATTTTGGAAGAGATATTTGTTTAAAAAGGCGCTCCTGGAGGATGATATTGCTCGCCAGGAGGCAATGCAGAAGCGTGAGGCGAAAGAGAAAGAAGCGACGATAGAGAACGTTAAATGGGAAGAAGGTATTCGTGATTTTAATTTCGCCTTTATTTGCAAATTGCACTGATTTTTGAACGTGGAATGACTCGCTTATTTTATTGGTTGGCTGCTTATGTTGCATTGTTTTATTTTGTTTTACTTGTGTCCAGGAACGAACATTAATGATGTTGCAGAGGAGTTCGCCAAAGATATTGAGCTGAGTGAAGAGGAGCAGATCCGCTTGCTGGAACAGTACGAGCACGAGACAAAGGCACGCAAATCGTCGACGACCTCCAGTCCGTCCGATAAAGAGACAATAGACTCCAAAAAGGAGATTAAAATAAAGAAAGTGTCCCCGTCTACAAAAATGCAAGTCTCAAAAGTCTCGAATAAATCATCAAAACCAGTAGCAAAGACGAATAAAATCAGCACCAAGTCACCACCTAAAACGCCGAAAAATAAACCACTCAGCGAAGAACTCGAAAACGCCATGGAGAAGAAGCCGGCGAGCAGCAGCAGCAGCAGTACGGATGGCGACTGGGAGAAAATATCGGATTAAACGCGGGCACTGTATGTTGATGGATGTTAAACCAAGTTAGTAGTTATTGCATTTATACCTATATTTTTGTTCAATATTAGTCACGGTTTTACTATTACTAGCCTATGATATGATTGCATTCGAGTTTAAATTATAACGGACGAAAATTACTTCTAATCTAATTAATAAGATTAGTTATATAAACGCAGAAAAAATTTGGTAAATGCTTTAATTCTGATGGTTTTCAATTTTTATTTTCGTGTAATTGTTTCTTTATATGTTGTGTTATGAATAGTTCATATTTTATATTAAATAGTGTTGATATTTAATTTGTTCGAAGCCGATAATGGGGTTCTGAGCAGATTGCTTCGATTTCTAAGCGTGATTGAACGATAATGGATAAAAACATGTTTTTATTGATAGAACACTCATCATAGTAGAATTCCGATTATTAAAAATAAAACAAAAGACTTAAATCATGTTCTTGAAGATAAAAAATACACTGTTGATTAGATTTAAGGTTGAAATAAAAATTATAAAATATACGATACTTTCCAAGCAAAATATATTGACTATTACATACCTTGAATATGTCTCTTTAAATAAATCAACTGCGCCTCACGCTCCAACATCGCTAATTGTGCGACAGCCGGCGCCATTTGAAGTGAATGACTCTCGAAACCGCTGCCGGTTGCCTTGCGTTTCTGACCGTAAATTACTTTACCATCAAACTCATTCATCGGCACTTTAATGTCCTTATCGACTTGTTGAATTGTCACACCTAAGTGCTCTTCAATGTCAGCCAAGTACTAAAATGTTGTGGTTATATATTAGCAAAAGTAGTATAAGACGTGAATTAATAATTACTTGTCTCTCATTGTACCAAATACAACAACCTTTTTGGTCTGTCAAATTGGTATTGGAGCAGTTTTTACCGCGACTCTTACACCATTCACCGTGATACCAAACTTTTTCTGGCACAGTGCTTACCAAACTTATAGCTAAACCCATACGTTCAGCACGTCCAACACGACCAATGCGGTGAACATAGTTGGATTTTTCATCAGGCAAAGTAACATTAATTGCTGAAAGAACAAGAATTCGGTCAATATTTTGTGTTGACTTTTTTAGCATTTACACAATGTGCAACTTACTAAAAGGAAGTCCAGTAATATCCAAGCCACGAGCAGCAACATCAGTACAGATCAAGAACTTAACTTTCCCGGCTTTAAAACAGTCTAAATTATTCTTACGCTCTGCTGGTGCTCTATCACCATGCAGGCACACACAAGAATATCGCGTCTTATCTAATTGATTAAAGTACTTTTCCAAATTATCACAATCGGTTTTGGTTCGACAGAAAATCAGTGCTTTATCCATATTATGCTCATTAATGGCACGCACGCAATATTCCCCTTTTAGAATTTTGACTGCCTCGCTCCAAGCCTCCGGTGTAGTGCAACCAGGCCTAACATTGTCATTCCTGTGGACTGCATCAGTAATTATATGACGGTTCAATTCCTGCCAACTACGATCCGCTTGAGGATCCACATTCACCACCACATGATGAACCGTTTCTGGCACAGAGTCCTCTCCTTTGAGATCAATCCACGTTGGGAAGTACATTAACTTATTCTGTAAACCAAAACCATAGGAACACAACTTTTAAGATTATTTTCATACCCACCGCCATTTTTTTGACTTCCATGGCGTGTAGTGTTGCAGAACAGACAATCATTTGTAATCTACGTCCATCCGCAGTCACTTTTGGCATTTGACGATGCAGACGTTCAATGAATGCATTATATCCTTGCTTCAACAAACCGTCAGCTTCGTCTAAGACAAAAAATCTACAGTTCGTGAGTGACAAATGCCCTGCCTGGATTAAATCTTCAAGTCGGCCGGGCGTTGCCACAATAATATCAACTCCATCATGTTCTAAAATGTTGATTTGCTCTTTTACGTTCACACCTCCAATAAGTAGCAACTCGCGAATTTTTGGATTGTTTATGTACTTTTTAAAGTTTTTAATTTGTGTGCAAGTTTGTTCGGCTAGTTCTCTAGACGGCTAATGAAAAAATTGGCATTAATTAAGAGTTCTAGCAGAGTGATAAGTAAATATAAATATCACCTCTATAATAATAGCTTGAGGAGCATTATTTGCTAGTTTAATAGCAACAGCCGCTTTGCCATTAGTATTTTGAACTTGTACGTTCTTTGGCGCATCACTGATTGCTTTGTATCCATTAGGAAGTTGATATTTTAATGGTTTATCACCAAAATTAAATTCCATTTCCGCATTCTGTAGAATTAAACAACACAGATTCAAATGTCATGCTTGAAATGTTCGCCTTTGCTTTATTACCTTTAAAACCACAGCAGGAAAGTAGGAGCAGTTGGTAACTTGTTTATTCATAACAAACGCTTTACCAAAGTCTTTACCGTTCTTCATGAATGATACTTCGCCGCGATCCAAATCTAGTAGACATGTTATAACATCATTCTTTCCAAATGCTTCACCATAATCATCAAATTGTCTGTTATTCGACTTTTTACCGGTTCCTCCAAAACCAAAGCCAAACCGGCAAGTACCCAAATCTAAATTCCCTGCTAACGTGGACCAGCCGACACGGCACAGTCCTTCATCGGTAACAATAGCTTCAAATGCCCACTTGCCACTTTGCACACCACTTGTGCATCTTGTGCCATGCCAATCACGTTGCTCGCGGGATTGTACGCGGAGGCCATTTGGAGAGATAGCAATTGCATTGCCTCTGTCTTCAACTGACATTCTCCATATTGGGCCTATATTATATATATATTATAAATATTAAATACTTTTAGCATATATTAATTTACCTGAACTAGTAATAGTTTTAGCAGCTTTTCCTGCTTGAATATCCTTAATTGTTTCCCAGACTATTTGTATAATTGGTAAGCAAAAGGCTGCAGTTTTCCCACTTCCAGTTTCAGCAGCCATCAAAACATCACCACCACCCAAGATTAGAGGGATGCTCTCAGCTTGAATATCAGTTGGCAAACTTAAATAGAAATATTTAGTTGAAAATAAATATTGTGAAACATTGCATTTGATACATACGTCCAGTCTAAATCATTGATAGCTTGGCCGATTTCAGGCAAAACGCCGAATTCTACGAAGATAAATGTATATTTAATAGTACTTAATGAATATAATTTATAATATATAATACCTTCAAATGCAGACATTTTAATTTATGTTTCTTATCAATTATTTGATGATTCCAGGCACGACTTCCAGGAATAATGAAAATTGTATGGTTAGATTAGTAAATACGAATTTAGGCAAATTATTTTACACCAGTCAAATCTGAAACCACTGATGAGAATGATTATGGTAATTATTATAAAAACAGTACATCTTGGGACAAATTTTAATTATGATAAAGTATTTCAAATTAATTTTTTTTTAACACTACGAATTAAAATTTCAGGCGCCTTCGCCAATTTTATTTCCGATCATCATAATTTAAAGTCTTTCGACACCTGTTTAAAAAGATATTTTCAAATAGATTATACATTAATTCCAAATTCAACAGTCTTACCACGATATTACAGAATTACTTTCCTTCTTAAAGGAATGTCACCGTATACAGCGCTTAGATTATAAACAATCAAAAAGTAATATACATAGAAAAATAGGTAATATATTACAAAAAGGTGTAAAAACAACAACATTTAAATCTCCTCCATTTTAACCACGGTATTCCCTTTGTAATTCCTAGAGACGCGATAAAACTCCTTCACTGCATCTACTTCCCTCAATGCGTCCAAAAACTCTTCATCGTGGGTGATAATCAAGAACTGAAAGTTCTTCTGTCCACGACGACTATTAATGAGTCTTGCGATGGCCTGGCTTAAACTACGAATATTTTCTCGGTCCAAGTTAGTCGTTGGTTCATCTAATGCAAAGATTCCACAATCTACACTAAAATGTTCCGCCAGAACAATCCGAACTAACAGGCAAGCAAGGACTTTCTGCCCAGCACTGCATTTCCCTCGCATCGGCATCATCACATCTCCTTTTTTCTGAACCAAACAGTACGAATACTGACGCCTAGTCGCGGTTAACTGAGTCTCTCCGCTCTCAATCTGAATATAATCAATGTCATTGCCTTTGTAAATCGAACGCCACATATCACGCAATCTTAAATTCAAAGAGAGCAATTGTTCGCGGTGATACTTGCAAATGGCTGCTGACATGCATTCAGTGAGACGACGCATGTCCTGAATAACCATCTCCTCCAACTTTATTTCAATCACTCGGTCCCTGTAGGTCTTGATTGGATCAGTTTTACAATTATCGAGTTCCTTAGTGAGCTCCTGAATGTTATCCTTGAGAGATTTAACTTGACCTTCGATCTTTGCCAAGTCTGTACATACAACATTAATTTCCTTTTGTAATTTATGCTTTTCCGCCTCGATATTACCGTAGTTCTTATTTCCTATTTCAGCAGCGTAGGACTTAATCTTTTCGATCAGTTTAACTTCAACTTTCATCAAATCTCGTAATTTTTTATTGTTTTGTAAGGACTTATCAGTACTATCTTGGTCGTGAAGGTCTTCCTTGAGATTTTCACGCTTCTTATTCGAATTACTCAATTCTTCTTCAATTTGATTGCGCGTAACATTCAATTGGGAGATTTGCTCCTCTATATCATTACACCGGCCCTGCAAGTTTTGCTTTTCCAGCAATTGTATCTCTCGCATTAATTTGGTAATATCATTATAAGAACTTTCGTGCCTTTGAAGCATAGTGCGCATTTCGTTTAAAGTCCTTGCATGTTCACGTTTGACACTAGTCAACCTGGATTTGACTTCCTCAACCTCGGCAAAGGCAGCTAAGGAATCGTTTTCAATTGTCTCCATAATATTAGTAAGGTCTTCAATTTTTTTCTCAAGTTCAACTTGTTTTAGAATGAGTTGCGGCTTATCATTGAGTAACCTTTGAAGTTTAGACTGAGTTTCTAACAGATCAGATTTCTGCGTACGTAAATCATACAGACGCTTCTGATTTGTGGCAATCTTCTTGTTGAGACGTTCGCTTTCATCAGTTAACTTAGCCATCTCTTCCTTGGTACTTTCAATCAACATTTCAGTTTCTGCCTTCGTGCGATTCGAACCAGTCGGTTCAAGTTTACGATTTAACTCTGTGAGTTTTGCAGTGGCTTTTACAATATCGCCAGAATACTGATCAATTAAGGCTGCATAAGGGGCGAGTTTTGTACAAATATCTAACGTGTATTGAGTCTCATCAATTTTGGTTTTCAGATCGACCAGTTCCTTTTCAATTTCAACATTTTTTTCATTGGAAGTTTTGAGCAATTCTCGTTTCTCCTCCAGGTCACTTTTTAACTTAGTCAGTTTCAAATATACCGGTTTCAGTTGTGTGAGTTCATTATATAACTTCTCACTTGCCTCCAATTTTGCTGTTACGGCATTTAACTTCTCGGGAGTCCTTTGAATTTTCTCATTCATATTATTCGTCAAATGCTTCACTTTCGTATGCTTCGTACTGAAATCAGTCTCACAGACTGGACAACACTTCTTTTCAGCAAAGCTATTTACAAAATCTTTATAGATAATCTTGAAAGCATCCAATTGACCTTTTTCTTTTTGCAGATTACAATTTTTTTCTTCCACTTCCTTTATTGTCGTTTCAAAATTTTCCACTGTGCAAAACTTACCAATTGCCCGCTGGGCATTTTCTAACTCACGTTCAATGGTATCCAACGTGTGCTTTTCGACAGATAGCTGTGCGTTTAAAGACTTCGATATCTTTTCTTTCGCCATTAAATCCCTGCGTTGCTCCTGTAACATTCGCGTGTTGTTCTCCCGTCTTTTTTCAATTTCAGTTTTTAGTTGTTCCATAGCAACGTTATCATCAAAAAGAGTACTAAGTTGTTTATGATATTTATTTCGGATATTACGAATTTCTTTGGTTTTTGATGTTTTATCCGCCTGATGGTGTTCCATTTCTTTCTCAATCATCGCGTTACGGAAATAGATCTGCATCTCATGATTGTAATCTTCCAGAGAATCGGTAAGAACCCGCATTTGTTTTTTGTTCTGGAATATGGTTCGTTCTGCACTTTCCGCGTTGAAGGATGATTGAATGGAGTTTATTTCATCCTGTAAACGCTTCATTTTAGTTTCGAAACTTTTGAACTCTGTCTCAGACGATGAAAGATCTTCAAGTTGACCTTCAATATTGCGTTTTTCGTCAAGCGCCGCTTGTTTTTCTTGATGTTTGAGCGTTTCACGGCTTCGCTCTTGCATGAGCTTAACTTGAGCCGCGTCTAGATCCTGTTGGACTGAATTCTCAAACTGTTCTAAGTCAGATTCGGTATTAGAAAATTCCTTCCTTTTCATTTCTAAAGAAGCTTTAATTTCAGCATGATTTGCTTTGAAACCTTCTTTAGGAGTAGCCTTGAGCTCAATAAGAAGTGATTTAACACTCTCGTCTCGCTCATTTATCCTAGTATTGTAACCCTTTATTTTTCTTGAACTGTAGCCATAGCAGACCTTCTGTCTTGTACCTCAATACCGTTTTTCTTCAATTGACTCTGACCCTGTGAAATTTTTGCTTCAATTCGCTGTAACTCATCTCGTTTCTGTTTCACACACGCTTCAAAATTTATAATTTCATGCTCTAGTTGTTCATCGCTGCCTTCAAATTCCGATTTCAAAATACTTCTTAAATCTCTTTGATAATCTCTATTGCTCGCAAGTTTATGTTCGTTTTCCGATTTCATTTTATACAATTCAGACAAACTACCTTCGAGAGATAACAGGTCGTCTAATTTCGCCTTCAGTGGAGTGTAACGTGTTCTCATCTCGGCAGTTTCCTTATTCAACAAATCTAAAGATTCTTTTTTATCTTTCAGTTTTTGTCGCTTCTCCAGAGCTGTGTTTTTCATCTCAGTCAGAAATACTAACTCTTTTTGAAGATTTTTTAAAGAAATGGCACGCGCTTTAATGCTTTTCGTTAAGTGATCTACCGTTTGATCATATTTGGAAGAATCAAATATCTGATCGAACTTTTTCTTAACCGCACCATCCTCGCCCAATGGCCACATCGAATCCTCCTGATGGCAGAAAAGCACATTACTCAAAACTGCCTCCGAGACGCCAATGAGCATTCTAATCATGTCTTTGCAATCGTTCAATTTCACGCAACGCTCGCGTTTTGTATTGTCTTTGTCAATATACGAATATGATGCATCCAACGATGTGCATTTAAATTTTGTACCCAATGCTTCAAGTTTAAGCGAACGTGAGATTATAGCTGGTTTGCCGTAGACATCACGAAATTTTAGCTTAATACAGCCCTTCACGGAATGAACATTATATAAATGCGGGTCAGCAACGAATGTTTGCCCACCAGTTTTACCACTGAAGGGAAACTCTCCAGTGAGAGCATGTTTAACAGCTTCAATTATTGTTGTTTTGCCGCAACCATTTTGTCCCAGAAAAAGAGTAACCGGTGATGAGAATGTTAATATTTGTGCGTCAGTCTTATTAATGCCATAGCTGCGAATGCCCGAAATGAAGATCTCCTCAAGTTTTGCCATATTCAGTAGTCTAAAACATAAACGTATTAAATTAAATTTGGTTTTGTTATCATGCGCACACGCAGAAATATTCACCCTAAGTTACCTTAGTTACCGACAATACAAACAATACCGGCAACTCTAAACTCTCAACGTTTGTAAACAAGAAAATAAAAGTGCGATCAAAATGGATTCAGAGGTATGATATTAAAAAAATTAATATAAAATAATCATATTGAAATGAAACTCAATAGCATGAATTAACAACATTGGCAATGGAACGAAGAAAACCAAGAAAATTAGTACCACCATTAAAAAATGCCCCCAAAAACAAGCAGAGGATGAAAAACAACAGAATTTCATCGCCAGAAATAGAATCTATAACCGAATCAGGCACATCCGATAAAACATCAAATAATTCAAGTAACACTGATATGTTCTTGGCACATTCGAAACGCCATGTAAATCGATCTGCAAAACATATATCTGAAGATGAAATATCGAATATTTCAACGTTAGACTCTCACCGTTCAGAAACAACTGCCGGAACCTCAGAGGATATTTCAAGATCCAATCTTCTCAATTCTTCCCCAAAAGCTTCCGAGTCAAAGACTTACAGAGACAAATTGAAGGAAAGATTTCGAAGCGTAAAGAAACAATCATCACAAAGTATCGAAAAATCTTCGATAAAAAAGTTTAAAAGTAAGAGTCAAGATGTTGTCATTTTGAACAAATGTATAGACAACCTAAAACATGATAATCACAACGTTAATTTGCAATTAAAAGCACATAAAAGGTATGTTTATCAAGGCGTCGGAGGTGAAGTAAGCAGTGCTGAAAAATATCTGTTCTTTTGTGAATCTTTACCGGATACAGCTATTGAAACAGAAGGAAGTGATGAAATTGATAAAGATAATATGAACGAAAATGTCGTTGTAGAAAAAAGAGCTGAAAATATGAGCGAATTCTTAATTAAAAGTTATGAAGAGTCGGTTTGGTCACCTAAAGGGTAAAACTACTTTTAATTTTAAAACAATGGTCTCCAAATTATTAGTATAATTATTATTTCAGAAAAACTTTGACACACGAACTAGAATCTGCAAACAAGGATCTTGCAGACGAAGGTTTATTCATTGCAGAATCACCTAAAATACCCCAAAGAGATTTGGCGCAGTTAAAACAAAGATTATTAGCATCAGACAACAAGTAAATAATACCTTAGCATATTAACAACTTGTATTAAAACAATATTTTTTTGCTTTCTAGTGAATTTTTTGACGCAGCTGGAAAACTTAAATTTGAAGAATCAAATTACTCCAAACTCAATTATCGACCAGACCGATTCGATGAAATTAACCCATTTGAATTAACATATCATAAACCATCTACGACAGTACCAGCTGGTATGTCTTCAGTGGTAATCAAGAAAGCAAAACCTATGTTGGAAATCAATATACAAGGATTCCGTTTTACAAACCATCCACTATTTAGCCCCGAACACACGTTGCAAGAAAATCTAGTCCGCCATTTTGACATTCACAAAGAATTTCGGCGGAATAGAAAACGCGATAAACTCTGGGAGCGTTTACAATCGTTGAGAAGAAGTCAGTCGGAATTACAACAGGGCGATAATGCAGCTGGTGATGCACATCAAGACTTAGATTTATCCAAAATTGCTCTAACAAAACAAATTAAAAATATTAGAGAAGAATATTATGCAGAGTGTAAAGCATATAGAGATAATGCTAAAAATGTCATAAATGCATGGAAATCACTAAAACAACTTCGTATTGATAATGGTTATTCAACAACAACAATCAAATTAATAATTAGTAAACATACAGAGTCTGAAGGCTTTTACGACGATCCAGCAGTTGCACTAAATGAGTTAAAAGCGGAAAAAGAAGAAGAATATCAAGAGCAGTTGAATAACTATAAGAAAGAACTTATATCATGGCGGAAACTACAAGAAGATGATGAATTAATTGATGAGGAAAAACCAATAAAACCGCCACGCATCATCAGCGCAAAAAAACTGCGAGCAACTGTAGAAAGTATGATCACAGAATCCTTTGGAGACAGTGATGAACCAATCATTAGTTTTACAGTAAATTATTCACATGGAATTACTCCAAGTGATCAAGTAAACGACGAAGAGAAAAATAGGAGAAAATCAGTAGAAAACACCAAAATGAAACTAAAATTAACACTAAACAATGTCCTAATTTGTAAATCAAAGACATGTAAACTAAACCCCAACTTTACACTGAATTTCGATGAAGTTTTAAGCCTGAAACTACGCGAAACTGAAAATATTACCAATGAAAACATAGATATTCAACTTATTGAAGAACATGTAACAAATATATCGAAACGATCACTTGGCACTGCCAAAGTGGATATTCCTAGATTAGGACAACTAATCGGACAAACTGATTTCCAAGAAGTTTATTTTAATGAACAAACTATACAAGGTTTTTTAACATTTTGTATAGGATGGGATACAATTGGTACCAACCAGGATGAAAACAAAAGTACGAATATTCTAAACGCAGAAGGAGGCTTAAACATTGAAAACCTTCAACACTGGATAGATACAAGTAATCCTGATCCTGAAGATCCGCGCAATGCAATCATATTCGATTATTTATCCGAAAATAAACGCGATAATTCTCCATTGGCACAAGTGGAGTCTACTAAATACTTTCGATGTGATCCGTATTTAGAAACATTTACAATTTGTTCGAAAGAAGATATTGAAAACAATGTGCGTCTGCAACTGTTAAGATTACGCGATAAAAACGAGCCGGAATTTGTGGGAATGATGGTTCCGAATCGTCTAAATGAAATACCAAGTAATATATTCGCAACGTACAAACGGCGCTTGGCCGAAGAGAAATATCAAGAGTATTTCGATAAAGAAGATGAAGTTGACGATGATCTTACCTCAAAAAGATCTTTGGGGAGGAAGTACTTGAGACAAATACACACAAAAGTGTTTCAACTTTGTAGAAACTGTGAGAATAACTTGACTTTCGAAGACGTTATTGATGAAAAGATGGTTCCATGGATTCAGTAAGTCATTCTTATTCTTATTATATTTATTTTCTTCTAATTGCAATGAAAAATATTGTAGAAATTATTTGAAAACTATGCTGTCGAACTTTATAAACTGGTTTAAAATAATACCAGCTTTAACTAAACCATTGCCAATGCTAGAACTGCGTTCGGAAGTTGAGTGTTTAAACGCAAAACATGATTCTGGAGTGACTTATGGAGGAACAGCTAAAATTGTTATTAATTTAAAAAGTGGTATTAATTTACCAATACCAAATGAAAATGTTAAAGTAAATTCAAGCAGAAAACAAAGTAAATCGAGAAGTAGCACCGGTGATGGCAGTAATAGTGCAAACTCTACTAAAACGACGCCTATTCCACAATATTTTGTTGAAATTTGCTGCGATAACGACAAAAACGAAGTAATAACAAGCGGGTTATCACAAGGAAAGCAACCAACGTGGAATGAGACTTTAACAGTTTCGTTAAACTCTGAAAACTTAGATTATTTGAATCCTAATTCATTGAATGGGTCTATTTATATAAATCTTTTCAACTTGTCGAAGATGACTCTGATGGACTTGCTGTTAACTTGGGTAGTGTAGTAATAACAATTGCTGCAGCAGTTTCGGAAAACAAGGTTTGCTAATTTAAAAAGTAAATTTGAACATTTAAACAACGTTTTTATTTAGCTTGAAGGCGAATTTCCCTTAAACAAGCCTCCATTTATTCACGGATATGAAAAAGAAGAAGAAATACGTTCGCCAAGTACACCCAGAACACAAGTCAATAAGAACACAAATTTGAGCTTCCTTGAAATGTCTGTTTATGTTGATTCAACAGTTCCAAAAATCTCTGCTGATTTGGTATTGAAAAGATGTTTAATTCAAAGAACAAAGTATATAACAAAACTATTCTAGGGTTCAATAACTTGTGGCGAACCACCTTTTATTAAAGATCACATCATCGAATGGAATAAGCGCTTTAATCTCGACCATCCCCGAAGAAAATTCAGTGCTTTGGCTATTGACAGCAATGGGAAAACAATTTGTCTTACAAGATTTATCAAAACTTTAGAACCACCAAAACTAAACGCTGATGAATTTGATGTTAATTTGGAACAATGCGCGCGATTTGTTTCTTTGATTCCATTTAGAAAAGTTAATAAATTTTACGAAAACATTTGGTTAACAGCAGAAGTAAGTTATATTAACAATGATTTTACTACCTACAAGCAACTAATGATATAATAATTTTAGCAAACCTTAAAATTGGGAATAGGATCAATTTATGACCATGCAACTTTATTAACTTGCTATTTGCTCTCTCTTAAACTGGAAGTTTGGTTGTTGATGGGGTTTGGGATACCCCATGGTAATACTGCTTATGTTTTGATTAGAGAATACAATGAAACACCGCTTCCAAATCACTTCATCATCGACGTAACTAATGGAACTGTCTATAATGTTACTGATCTATACTGTCCTCTTAAGAAAGTCTACTGTGTAGTCAATGAAAATAATGTAACATTGCGCAACATATATTTCTGTATTATCATGATAACTATTTAAATATTTTTAGATTTGGGGAAATGTTCAACGTGGCGATGCTGTTTTCACAACAAGATTTGATTTTACACGAAGATTTGACTGGCAACCACTGTTTAACAACTCAGTTTCATCACCTAGCAATTCAGTGCAGCACAGTTTGCATTATCTTCAAAGTGGTGATGCACTCAAGTTACAAAATGTCATTGAGAAGAAACTACACAAGAAAATAGCGAAACTGCGGGAGCATGATGTTACAATTTGGAATCATTACATATCTAACTTATTAAGGGCGCAAATCTTAAAAGCTGAGAAGAACTTCATGCATAGCAAGACTCATTTGACTTCATCCAGTCAAATGATTGAATATTCAAACAATTTCAGGGTACTTATATTGCGTGCTAATTTCTTTTCAATAGAATTAACATGAAATTTTACTTCAGATTAATGGAATTATCCAATATTTCTCGTTCAGCAGTGTGAATGAAGTTGTGGATATGATTGCACAAACAAAGATATGGAATATTACTGGCTCCAATGTTGAGTTTGCCAGTTGTGTACAGGTACATGCTTATGTTAATCAAGTTATCGCCGTTTGGATCGCATTAGTATCAATTGTTAAGAAATAATCAATTAATATAACTACTTACTTGAATAAATAATAATAAAGAAGAAGACTGGCTGCAACTCACACATTTGATTGCGGTAACCTCAAATGGTTTGGTTTTGGCGCAAAATTTCGAACCAACATACAATACAGAACACAACCAATAGGAGGATGGGGAGTTTTGCTAATGCGCAGGCGTTTTGAAAAGAGCTTTGATTCGATTTATGAAAATTTTATAAGTTTTTGAGGTATTAAAGTATGAAAGTGCAACTGACATCATATAAATTGATACAAGTGGAATATACTGATCTATAAACTACTCTAAATATATTGAAGCCTTTAGGTTTGAACTAAATTTTAAGATATTATAAGAAGTTTAAGCAATTCTCAATTTCTTGGCACATGTTTCATCATTGAAGCTTGCATCCCCAACATCCAGTTCAGGACCAATTGAATTCAAAAGCGGCTGCTTACTGTATTTGCCGAATAAAGTTGTAAGAAGAGCTACGCCATAGCCGGTTGCTCTCTCGCCCTATAGAAAAACATTCGAGTTTATTACATATTGGTTAAAATAGTGTCGGAAATTGTAAAAACTTACTGCATGCACAGGCGCAGCCATATCTACATGCATCCAAACCCCCGGAAAATCGAACCCAAGATGCGACGCAATAAACAAACCAGCACAGCTTGCTTGCGCGTTGTTCCTGTCAGCTACAGAGTTCTTCATATCAGCGATCGCAGATGAAAACTCACTGAAATGCAACTCAGGGCAGTACGGAAGCGGGAACGCTAAATCCCCTGAAGTCCTTCCAGCAACAACAACGTTATCCTCCCATTCCTCGCTATTTGCCAACACTGCAGCATGATATTTGCCCGTAGCGACCGCTTGTGCACCTGTTAACGTCGCCATATCTAAGATAATATCTGCCTTCAAGTCCCTTTTCGCGTACACCACGCCATCAGACAATACAAGACGTCCTTCTGCATCAGTGTTGTTGATTTCGACTGTACGTCCTGAATACAAAGTGTGTATGTCATCAGGACGAGTTGCAGTTGGCCCTACAGCGTTCTCAGCTAAACAGAACACGGCATGCAAGTTTTGCGTGAAGGAATTTTTCACAGCAGCATAAAACGCGCCTAAGATGGCAGCGGCTCCGCCGCAATCACGTTTCATTCCTGGCATTGCAGTTTTTCCCTTGATGCTTAAACCACCGGTGTCGTAAACAATACCTTTACCAACCCAAGCGACAGTTTTGTGCGCACCCGCAGGAGTGTAACTCAAGACTGCTAATGCTGGCGGTGAAGTAGCTGCCTTGCCTACACCGTAGATACCGCCTAAACCTTTGGTATGCAGTTCCTCTCCGCGGATAATCAGTGGTTTGATATCGAGCACACCGCCGATTTTCTCAACTTCCTTGAGGAAACCATCAACATTCATTTCATTGCATGGTGCGTCGACAATGCGCGCGGCGGTGCGGATGCCAACAGCGGCGGCATCGAGAGCAGCGATGTCCCCCTGCGTAATTTCGGTAGAAGTATCTTTATCATCTTGACTAGGTACAATGATAAATTCAACAGACACATTGACCTGACTGGTGTTGATTGCAGTTTTCCTAGAATAAGTTGGAAAAGCACGGGCGACAGCGCATCCACTCGCATACAAATCTTTCCTTTCACAAACCACCTACATAAACACACAAATTACCAAATTATAAAAAAATTTTATAAAATACATTGTGTGACACCTACCACAATGGATTCATCCACATTTACAGTACAATTCTGCACCAGTCTTGTAAGAGTGTGGCATCTTGATGGAGTGTTGTGCCTGCTGCATTTAATTGGAAGCGCGGCGATTGTTGCAAAGTTCAAATACAATGAGCAAGTGTCACTTGGTGAAGGATGCAGACTAGAAACCGCATTTCTGAAATACTAAAAGACAAAATTTAAGATTTTAAATGGCTGTTTTCTCATTCTTGCAATTTTAATTTCCTACCTCTTCAGAAACTCTTGGTTCCAACTTAGCTTTCACATCACTGAATTTAAGTAGATTAAGATGTTTCACTTGCCCAATGATAAGTACAGGATATTCATGAGGATCAGTCCGCGTCAACTTCGAGCGAAACGTGAGTTTCGTGTTAGTTGACATTATACTTTTTACTGAAAAATATCAAACCAACTTCTATGTAGCTTATCTAGATTAAACTTTATTATCAAATTGTTCATGTACTTAAGACATATTGACTTCCAGATTACGTACATGTCGACAATCCTCTTAACTGATTCATTTTGTCGCGATGGACGTGATTTATTTCACATTCTCAATTAAACATTTAACATGTAATAAAATGATGGCGAGATTTGAGTAATCATAAGACTTAGTAAATAATTGTTAAAAATGGTTAGGTTATGCTACAAAAGTTGCGCATAAATCTAGATAATTTCGCTCGTCATTCCAGCAAATATTTAGCCATGAACATCGCAAAGTATTAATAGAATTTCTTAAAATAAATTTGAAAGTGTCACGTTATATGATAACGGCGATAATCGTGTGACCAGCTAATATGTTTAATATATTTCGTCTGTGATTTCTGTGTGTATTTAATACATACGAAGTTAGGCAAATAATTTCTGTGTATAGTAGTCAATTGTTAATTCAATTAATCGATTAGCTTAGCTTCTATGGAAACTCATTGTTTGATCATTACCGGCAAATAAAAGAAATAACAAATAAAGAACCGGTTTTTAAAAGTTATGCATTTTTACTACGCGTTATTTTATACCTGTAATTGAAAAATAATTAATTGAAGAGTTCTTACGTTAATTATGATGCGCAATGATGTTGTACTGCAATTAATTAGACAGAAACTGAGCGCCCATCAGAAGTATGGGCTGTTTTATTGGCAAAACCTCTAGCGATGTACACTTGCTCACTACCCGATTAATGATGACAAGCTGACTTGCTGACTGGCTGGTGCCTGCGCTGCTTGTTCGGCTTGTCCACGGATCTGATAGCAATAACCTACAAAAAGACGTCTAGGATTTAGCGCATAATTTGAAATTGATTAAATACTAATAAAATTGCAATTTTAGTTTAAAAAATGTATATACATAAATGCATGTACATGTATTTAAACTAGTTATTTTATACCTATTAAGATTTAAATTATTTACCCAATTAAAACTTAAAATATTAAATAATTTTAATATTTTTTAATAAACATAGAAAAATAAGTATAAAATGTTAAATATTTGGGTTTATTTTTTTATATAAGTGTACCAAACGAGTTATTTCTTAAGTTTGTAAATAGGATCTAGTATATTTTAAAATCTGGTTGTATTCTAGGGACATTGTTTACCATATAGTAACTTTCATAGTTGTATCTTGGCAACAGTGTAAATACTAACTTAAGAAAAAGATCCAAAGATACATGCAAAATGGCCGCCTCGAGATTCGTAAATTGTTTAATAATTTTACTATGCATAACACTATGCTCAGGTATGTATTAAAAATATCATCAAACACTCTTTTAACAACACTTTAATTACGCCTCAATTTTATAACACGCCCAAAACTTGCTCAAGCCGATTGTTTTGATACTCTTCCCCAGCCTCCCACTGGTGTTTATGTTTACATGTTCAACTTTCAGGCGAAGTTGCGAATCACATAGGGCTGCAAGAAGAGCTCGACGGCGATGAAACTAATAATGACAATGATCCCGGCGAACCGCCGCCATCACACAGCTACAAGCATCACTATGACTCCAACAACCACAACCAGTTGCTTGGGGCACAAGCTTATGCCAAACCAAAAGTAAAATGCCACAGTTGTGATCCACCACATTGTACAAATGAGACCACCTGCCACAATGCTGTGCTGTGCTGGAAATCCCGGCTCCGTGAGTCGACTGGTATGGAGAAGGTTCAAAGAGGATGCACAATTGATCCAGAACAAGTTCCATTCTATTGCCATTCACCAACATTTGATGGTCCTCAGAAAAGGGACTCCAGAGTGCTGGTAAACATTGTGTGCTGTTCACAAGACTTTTGTAATGCAGGACAATTTCCACCAATTCATGTGGATATTGTGCCATATTCAGATTCATTTAATTATGGTTTAAAATTAACTGGGGCTGTGCTTGTCCCAGTATTATCAATAAGCATCCTGGGGGCTATTATTTTAATATTTATGAGGAAAGTGCACAGACACAGATTGAGAAATCAAAGTAAACATGATCCTGATACATATTATGCCAGTGATGATTTGCTCAGAGCCACAGCAGCTGGTGATAGCACATTGAGAGAGTATTTAGAACATTCAATGACTTCTGGTAGTGGCTCTGGTTTGCCACTGTTGATTCAGAGAACTTTGGCTAAACAAATCTCACTTGTTGAATGCATTGGTAAAGGCAGATATGGTGAAGTCTGGAGAGGGATTTGTCATGGGGAGAATGTTGCTGTAAAGATCTTTTTCTCTAGGGATGAGGCCAGCTGGAATAGGGAGACTGAGATTTACAGCACTATCTTGTTGAGGCATGATAATATTCTGGGTATATTGGGTCAGATATGACATCTAGGAATTCCTGCACACAATTGTGGCTGGTCACACATTATCATTCTTTCGGCAGTTTGTATGATCATCTCAATAGGACGACGTTGACGCATCAGCAAATGCTCCTGATTTGCATATCTATTGCTAATGGATTAGTACATTTACATACAGAAATATTTGGAACAGAGGTTTGTTTAAATGCATATCTTCAAAATGAATATTAAACATTATGTATTCTTTAGGGTAAACCTGCAATTGCTCACAGAGATATAAAAAGTAAAAACATATTGGTAAAGAACAATGGCACCTGTGTCATTGCTGATTTTGGCCTCGCCGTTACGCACACCCAGCAGAACGACATGCTGGACATTGGTTCCAACCCTAAAGTTGGTACAAAGCGCTACATGTGTCCTGAAGTCTTAAATGAAACGTAAGCAGGCATAATTTTAATTTGTTCTATTTTAAATCTTGATTTGTTTCTTAAACAGAATAAGAATGGACTATATCGACTCATTTCGGCGCGCGGATATTTACGCGTTGGCGTTGGTCTTCTGGGAGATCGCCCGGAGGACGCTGAGCAACGGCATCGCCGAGGAATACAAACCTCCTTTCTTTGACGTTGTTCCTAGTGATCCCAGTTTTGAAGATATGAAGAAAGTCGTCTGCACTGATCAGCAGCGACCTAACATACCCAATAGATGGGCCAGTGATGAGGTAATTTACTTCACTTTGTGCTTTCAGGACGATTTTTAATTATTTCTTACTTTATTTGCAGACACTAAGTGGTTTAGTGAAAATAATGAAGGAATGCTGGCATCCCAATCCGAACGTGCGGCTCCCCGCGCTGCGCATCAAAAAAACTTTACTAAAATTAGTTAATAAGGACTGTGTTATCAATTTGGACGAACTGGCTGTCTGCGTGTAGAGAGTGCATGTGAATGTGTATGAAATTGCAATCAAAATGGCGTTACATTGCTAACGCCTCACATCGGTACAAAAAGGCATGCAATATTTGAGTTGTTTTAAGCGAGTGCAGAAGGAAAGCCGGCGGGATCGTATGTGCCAAACACTTTGACTTTTAACTCTTACTTTAGGTTACTTTCCCACGCGCCATGGCATAATAATTGCAACTTATCGTGTGATTCGTATTTATGTATCTCTGCAGCGGGGCGAACATGTATTAAGATTAGTTTGTTAACAGTATTATGTTAATTTTATTAAAATATTCTAGATTTATTAGCGCGCGCCATATTTGCAAAAGGGGAACCATTGCAACAGCTCGATAAGAAACGCGGTGCCATCTGAAGATATTTTTTAATGTAACGTAGGATTATTATTATTATTATTAATTGACTAATTCTCGGACAAATGCGGATATCATTGATTTACGTCGGACAACCACTAACAACGCAATTGTTTTTCATATCTAATTCGTAGTGATAAAACCCAGTTTAGTTCGTACGGTCGTACATGAATGTAAATACTTTCGTTGTAGATAAGATATCTTTAAATCATATCGTTTAATCCTAAATGGTTATGACAAGAATTACGTTAAGCAACACATACTCAATGACAGAATTATTAAAACGAAGAGGACAATATCGACTTAAGAAGGGAGCTACCGATCTAGCAGATACTTATTTTCAATCGAAATTCGTGTGTGTAAAAATCAGTGTAACAGATTCATATCAAATTTATTTATCAATTGATATCGACGAGATGTGGACGGCGACGAGGCTCACACACAATCATTTTTTACTCATCACTAATTATTATTGTAAACGATAATATCTGTGTCTAGTAGCGTGTAACTATAAACGTATAGTTCAAATCAAAGACGTTCAATTTGGTATGCGCGATGCATATTACATTACTAACGTGTTATACTTATTATTGTGTACATAATTATAACAAAGGTCTCACTAATACATATTTCATCATAACTTAAGTTGAAACGGTTCATTTTATTGTATGATTACTGATGGAAATGATTATTAAGCAATATAGTTTAAATTGTATACATTTCATTTTTATAAACAAGCAAATCCCATTGTTTTCTATATTTTACTGCGTTTAAAGTCAAGAATTGCTTCAATTTTTTTATGTTTGCACTATCGCCATTTTGAAATGATCTGCATCTAACCAAACTTGATCTTATTGGTGTTGTTTATGGTACACCAACCTCATGCAAAGAAAAGAATCACGCTGTAACGCAATTACATCACTCAATTGCTCCAAACCGCTCGCATCAATCACGCAAGGATGGTCAAGGTTAATGGAATGAAAAATTGGCGAAATACGTTGCGCGAACGAGCATCGTCGGGCAACCCGCGAGAACGATTACGGCCAATCATCGGCCATTCAGGCGGACGGCGATCTTTTGAATCGCCAATTTGGTTTAAATTGCATGACCTATATGACCTATATGATGATCCAGATGTGTGTCCATCTAACACGGACACGCCGCCTTACGTTTTCAGCGACGCATATTAACTTTGCACGGTGTTGTTTATCGGGCGCGTTACCTCCGCGATAATTGTCAACTTTTAATCTCAGTCGCAAAGATGTCTTGGCGAAGATGCGCCCTGGTCGCCGCGTGTTTTATGTGTTTGATGAACTTTAACAACGTATGTACGGAAGGTAAAGAGATACAAGTTGCGAGGTAGCTGTTGGTTAGCATAGGGGTGCTAATTTAATAAATTTTAATGTGGACTTAGGTAAGAAAGGCGTTGGTCCCGGCGAGCAGGACTGGGGATATATTAAAGTGCGACCAGGTGCGAACATGTTTTGGTGGCTGTATTACACCACCGCTAATGTTACACATTATCGTGAGAGACCGTTAATTATTTGGTTGCAAGGTAAAAAATTTAAAGTGTAAACAAGTTTTATGTAAAGATGCATTGTATGTATGACTTTAGGAGGTCCTGGAATGGCGTCAAGTGGTTATGGCAATTTTCTCGAAATAGGTCCATTAAATATGGACATGGAACCCCGGGAACACACCTGGGTCAAAGACTACAATATTCTCTTTCTTGATAACCCAATCGGTGTGGGTTTCAGTTATATTTCCCAAAATAAAACAAAGCTTGTTCAAAACCAAAAGATATTGGCAACGATCTAGTCAAATTTCTCTGCAAATATCTTCGAAAATTTACCGAATTTTCTACGGTGCCTTCGTATATATTTGGAGAATCTTATGGCGGCAAGATGGCGATCGAGTTTGCGCTTCAAATTCACAACGTAACCAAAATTCCCCGTAAAGTGATCACATGAATAATCTAAATGCGAATTTCTTCAATGTAGGAAATTCAAGATGGCAAACTAAAAATGAATCTGAAAGGAGTTGGACTTGGTGATGCCTATATTTCACCAATGGATTACATCAACAATTATGGTCCATTTGCATTAAATTTAGGTTTAACTGATCGTCATGGCTATAAAGCCATCGTTGACCTTGCCGAAAAAATCAAATGTGCAATTGCCAGACATGATTACGAAGAAGCTTCCGAATTGGAAGCAAGAATCACCGATACTGTATTTGAAGCGACACAAGGAATCGATATTTATAACATTATGTTGACGTCTAACTCGACATCAATGCCTAGTATGAATGTCGCCATCTTGTATTAACACATCTTGTAAAAACTTGCGTGTACAAATGTTTGTTTTAGGATTTTTGAGTTATCAAGAGCCGTGCAATACATTTATGAATGGTCCAATCAAACAAATGTTGAATTTATCCAGTGATATTGAATGGAGTTTCATTAACGATGATATTTATAATTCTTTGCTTGGAGATTTGATTCGACCAGTTACAAATACAAGTATGTATCAGATATATAGTGAATTTGGGTTATTATTATTTATTTTCATGTTTTAGTTGAAGAGATTTTAAACAAAACAGACATCAAAGTGATTGTTTACAATGGGGTATTTGACTTTATCGTAAATACGCCAGGAACAGCAAATTGGTTAGACCGTTTAAACTGGTCCGGACAAGCCGAATGGGAGAATAGTACCCAAGAAGCATTGGAAATCAACATGGTTAATGAAGGATACATCAAAAAAGTTGGAAATTTGGTGTTTTACACAGTTCTTCGAGCTGGTCACAGTGTACGTTTAAAATTACCAACAAATGAAGGCAGACACATAATGAATTAAACGTTTTTGTGCAGATACCTATTGACAATCCAGTTGCAATGGATGAAATCCTGCGTCGTGAGTTGCTCGAAGATAACGTCGATTATCCATCGCCTACTTGACACGCTCTCTAGTATTGTTTATTACATACACACACGTTTATGTCTTATTTATAACATCTAACAGAATATTAATAAGTCCCAGATTAGGATACAAATAGCGTATTGATGAAAGGGCTTATCCTGATTGCTGCATTAACTTTGTTTGTTGTGTAGCAAATTGAAAGCAATTGAAATTCAAGGACTTTGTCAATTATAGTTTCTGCGCAGAATTAACAAGTACACCGTCTCGATGATGGACAACAATGATGCGCCGACAAACAGTCCCGCCGTCCCACCGATAGACACTGTAAATACACCAAGCAATCAAGACTAGGTTGTTTAGTCGACTGCACTTGTTATCATGTTGTTTTGTTGTTACTCACCTACCAAATCCAATGTGGTGCGCACAACGTTTCTTTTGAAACGCAAAGTTGGGAGTGCTTGTAGTCGAATCGATATTTCACCATTTGATGATTTTACCCTTTAAAAGAACAGGTTTCTAAGTGATTGAATAAATATACTCTGATATAAGTTACCCTTTGTTTTCTGAAACAATATTATACTCGGGTTCAACGCAGGATGGAACACAATCACAAACCAGACCTGGTTTATCAAAGCCTTTTGCATGAAGTCGATTCACCGTCTCTATTTTAAGAATATATTAATATTATGTTAAAAAGGCATTAAAACTTTTACTGCTTTTACCAAAATATTCTGTAAGACATAATAATCCTTCTATATTGCAATAGTTTGCATCTCCAACAACGGGCATGAGATGATGTGTGCAGTTACACAAATTAATGTGGGCATCAGCGTGACATTGTACAATGCAGGTTGAATAGCTGTAGAATTTGTGAACTTTCAGTTCCGGATAGATTTCGTCTGGAAAACGGCAACCGCGTTTTTCTACATTAACGCTTCGCACATTTTCATCGTTAGCAATTTCAATCACCTATAATACAAATAAGTAAAATAATAAATATGAAGGCTTGTTTTATAAGCAAGAGAATACTTTAAAATCTAATTGGTAACGTTCACCCAAGACTACTTCTTTGCGAAGATCTGTATCTGAATTGATGAATGGTACATCTTCTGGAGCATGAATGTATAACTAAGGAAACAAGTTAAATTAAGATCATATTTATCATAAATCGTAAACAGTTAATACCTACTCTAATATCGTCAATATTTTCAATTACAAGTTGACCTGGTCCTGTAAATCTATTAGAAAACATTTGCTGTTGTTTCATTCCTTTTTGTCGACTGCAAAATTACAATCAAAGATAAAATATGTAAATTTTAATGTTACAAGTATAGTAATAAAATTTGTTTAATGTTTCTTACATGGTATGAATCGAATTAATTGCAAAACACCAACCGTATTCCGTATTCAGCGGTAAAAAGTGGTCGCAACAATCAAACTCAACATCGTTCCACTTACATTTACCAATCAGGCTTGTACACTTTTTACGATACTGCAATTCACAGTTAATTTATGTGTTCACTGTTTGTTATATTACTTAGAACCCATTACTTACCTGCCTTACTAAGCTTTTATAGTTCATTTCCTTACATTCAACGCAGTTTGTACTGCACGAATAACAACTGCCTGTAAAAAATATGATGTCGGAGAGGAATTGTTGCATTGGTGAATAATTTTCACTGGGATCACTTAAATAGGAATAAAAACGTGTTATTTCTTTATATGCTTATTTAGCTAAGAAAATTATTTCTTACGCAGTCCAGAAAACTTCGGTACCAGCAATCTCACAAACGGAAATCGCCGGAAACGTTGTGTTCCAGTTGAGATACGTTGTTTCCGTTGCAAAACTAATCGAGTGTTGCAGGTACGAATCATAAGAACTTTTGAAAATACGCATCATGCCTAACGTTGAAAGCAAGACTATAAATAGCCAAGCAAATCTGTAATAATTAATATTTTAAGTCCAATTGTTTCAAAAATAAAATTTTATTAGTGACCTGTAGAAAATACTTGTTTTTTCATCTGCAATATGGTGCAAACCGTGTAAGTTGCTATGCTTAAGATAGTACTTTATAACCGACCAGAACGACATTTTGAATTGACGAAAAACCAAGTGTTATTTCCCAACAAAGTCGAAAACTGCCCATATTGGTTTGATATAAAAACATAAACATTTCATAGATCTTTTAAGATATGATTATTCTTTAGAACTTAGTAATGCATCCATTTATAATAAAGTGAAATCAATAATGATCAAATGATTACCTAGATAAATGTATGTTTAATGCGTGCACAGTATATCAACCTTGATCTTTGCACTTATCAATGAATTAACCATTAGGTGTGTGCGTGGTTGATAAGTACACATTTTGTACCTACCGAATGCACCGGCAGTGTTTGAATCAAACAGAAAAATGAACATTGAATTATTAATAATATTGATTTTCGGAGTTATTGCGAGTGCAACATATAAAGTTGCTGTTATTGAATATCTGAGAGAAGTTTATAATGGATTTGAAGCTAATATTAAACACAATTTGGACAATTATTTAAAAATAATTGATAATATTGTAAATGAAACTCAGGTAAATATAGGGGAAAGTAGCCATATTTGGACCATTTTTATATTTTTTGATTTATAGAGCCACATATAAACTGTCAATAAAAATTAAGTAGCGGAAAAGTAACTCACAAGGCTTACCTACAAAATGATATTTTTGATTTAAGTAAAAATTATATTTATACCCCTGAAATTTCAATTTAAAAAAATTGTGTTTTTGGTCCAAATTAAGAAACCGGTTTCCTAAATTGGACCGCGCGGTTTCCTAAATTGGACCATGCTTTTTTAACGGCAATTGACACAATAGTAAATTTTAGTTTTAGCACTAACACAAGCACATTTTGTTTAAACCAAAGTTTCATACACTGGATCATTTCGAAGAGTTGTGCTCGTCCACAAGCTTTTCTAGGAGGTCGAAAAAATGATATACGTTTTCCCTGTTAAAACCCCGGTGCCTGTCTTCGGTCCAACTTGGGCAACTTGAAGAATTTATATATAATGACAAATTAATACTATAAATTTTAAATAAATAATGATGATAATGAAATCTAACGTTTAAACATGACAGCTTATGCACTTACGTCGTTATAATAGATTTGATAATCAAGAATACACAAAGTTGTTGTCACGACGAAAGCACGCGGCAAGTTTTAACTCAAATAGTTGCATCAATTGTTTAAAATGAAAATATTCAAATAACTGATTTAATTTTTGCTACCTTCCCTATAAAACAAAAATGAAAATATTCAAATAACTGATTTAATTTTTGATAAAGAAATTGGATTTGATTGTTTTTCCTGAGGGGACCTTAGTATTTCAACCTTCTTATACAAAAGAAGAATTATTAAAACATGCAGCTCGATTACCAATTGATAATGCAACAATTCCATGCTTGGAAACAGTCGAAACAACTAGTTCCTATGTTCAAAAGTTGTCATGTTCGAGTAAAACTCATAATGTTTATATCTCAGTTAATATAATCGAAAAAACCGACTCTGGGGAATTATTCAACGCAAATATTGTTTTCGACCGCCAAGGCCGCTTAGTTTCAAAGTAATTATGTACTATATAATTATATGCATTATGTTAATTTTGAGATTTCTAGATATCGTAAAATGTATCCACTGGCAGGAGAAAAATTCATCAGCTCAGGGAATACTGTGGAATATTTCCAAACTGATTTTGGCGTGACTTTTGGAGTGTTTATTTGCTTTGACATATTTTTTAAGAACGCATACACGGATGCTCTCGATGAAAATGTGGATGCTTTTATTTTTCCAAGTTATTGGTATTCTGAACTTCCATATCTTTCATGTAAATACATTTTCAATTACATTATTTAAATTTTTAGTGTTAAACTTGTGGTTTTTAGCGACACAGATGCAAAAAATGTGGGCTTCATTACACGGAAAGACCCTTCTTGCAAGTGGTGGTAGTAATGGAAATACAGGAACAAGTGGTAGTGGTATTTATTCAGGAAGTTATTCTTATGCAAGTTACCTGTCGGGTACAACAAATACCAAAGTCTTAATAGCAAATTTAACAAAATCATCAGAATCGAAACAGAACAAAAAACATAAAACTCAATCAAATCATAGCAGAGATTTAAATAACTTTAATTTTATTACCAAACGTCCCGAAATGATCAAATATCCATTAAATCAAAACGATGCACATAAAGACATTGAAGAGACTCTGTGTCATAATGAGTTTTGTTGTAATTTCAAAGTAGACGTAAATGATACTAGCGGATTAGTTTTTACTATTTATAATGGTTTGCAACCATTTATAGGATTCGGTAAACTGGGAATTCAATTATGTGCGGTATTGCAGTGTGAAGATACTAATTGTTTTAAAATGTAAGTATAAGGTAACAAAATATATAAAACTACTAATATGTATCATTTGTAGGCCCAGTGATGAGTATTTTCAGAAGAACTTTAAAGTTTTGGAAGTTAAAGTAGTCAACGCAACTGTAGGAGCAGATTATTACCCAAATATAGCACTAAAAACTTTATTTTTCATGCCAACGGAAAATTATAGCTGGACAGGTACAAATTTACACCTGAAATTATTGCAAGAAACAGCTGGAATTTACACATTTGGATTTTATGGTCGAAATTACAAAATTGATGAGATACAATAAAAAGCAATGTTGCTTACAGACAACAAAAAATCTGTAGTTAAAAAACAACGGTCTAGTTCTTAAGTGCATTTAATAATTCAGCTAAAAATTCAGCTACTTAACAACTACTACCTTATCGCTTAACTTAATGTATATATTTTTAAATTGATAGTACAAATTTGTCTAATAAAGTTGACGCAAATAATGCTTGATTTTGTTTCTCTCCTTCATACAAAATTGAATAAAATCACGTTACAATCTCGTGTTCGGCTCATCATCAGTCCAGTCGCATATTTTTTATAAGTTATTATTTAGTTTCACAAAATAAATTCAAACGAATGACAATTGGTGATCGATGATGCGTAAGCGAAACATAACAATAGTAAAATCTTAGCCCCGGAACCATGTTCTTACAAAGTAGCTACACACTGGTCGCTTAAAGTTAGTTACGCATATTTACTATACATTTAATTAATTGATTCGTCTGATATCGCACCAGCAAAACGTTGTCGATTTTCACTCTATTCGGGAAGGATGTGAATCGAACCAAGCCGAACAAAAACAAAAGAAACCCTCCAATGAAAACTCAATATATTAATATATAAAGCGGTGTGTATTTACATTTTCGCACTCTTCATTATTCACTCATCCAAGGACAATCGTAAAACATATATATAAGGATTAAAATTATAATTGAATGCAACCCTTCTCGCTAATGCATGTTTCAAAAACACCGTATAAATAAGGACACTAGTTTCGCTTATTACCAAATCGTTATATTTTATTTAGAATAAATAACTATACCTGGCTGGGTTGTTATTCTTTTATCTTTTGGATTTGTCGCAACTACAAAAACCGTGTTTGTTTGTTTTGTTTGATTGTGTTGCGTGTTCAGTGTAGGTGTATGTGTGTGGTTATAGTAAAAACATAAGAGTTGAGAATTCCAAAAATAATATGCAGTTGTAATAATTGATGAAAACTCTTTCTGAACGAATATTATACATACAGACAAGATTACTATTATGTTAGATTATATTAATAATTAGGTATAATGGTAGTAGTCCTTTCTTGTTTTGCTGTATTTCAAAAGGTCTACTACATGAAATATAAAATTAAAGTCCGTGCCATTATTCTTTCAACCGCACCGTAAACCTGCAAACAAAAACCAATCCTAGAAAATGCTGCAGCTAGGATTAAGAGGAAAATGCGTTACCTTACAGGACGTGGAAATGTACGTTTGCAAAGTGCGTTGTTTTCAGCAGCAGCCCGACTTGGTGGATTCAATGGGACGGCCCTGGTCGATCTTCACCTTGCTCGCCTGGTCTGCAGCTGAAGACGGTGGTCCCACGCGGTTCTTAATCTCGGCAGCCATCGTCATGAAGGCCTGCTCCACGTTGGTGGCGTTCTTTGCCGACGTCTCCAAGAACGGAATATTTAACTGCTCGGCGTACTCCTACAAACCAAACAAAAGTAATCAATTAAAATCTCGATAATTTATTTATTGAATGATAGTAGTACCTTTGCCGTTGTGTAGTCCACGACTTTTTTGGTCGTCAAATCACTCTTGTTGCCGACGAGCAGTTTGTTGACGTTATCACAAGCATAGCGATCAATTTCCTCCAGCCACTGCTTCACGTTGTTGAACGAATCCTGGTCCGTGCAGTCGTACACTACGATAATGCCGTGCGCGCCCCTGTAGTAACTGGATGTGATCGTCCTGAATCTTTCTTGGCCAGCTGTGTCCCACTACATCAACAAAATATTGTTAATCAACTTTCAGCAATCATGAAATGTTTATACTTACAATTTGCAGTTTAATTGTTTTGCCATCTAAGTCAATAGTTCTAATTTTCTAAAAGAGAGAAAACAAGACGTTTTAGTTTACTGACATCATTCAAACAATAAAAATACTTACAAAGTCTACCCCAATAGTACTAATGTAGCTCTCAGTGTATGTATCATCCTAAAAAACGAAGAATTCATTCATAAATAGTTATCCAGACAAAGAATCTATTAATACTTACAGCAAACCGAAGAAGTAAGCAGGACTTGCCGACGCCGGAATCACCGATCAACAGAAGTTTAAATAAATAATCGCTGAAACACAAACATTTATTAGTAATGAGTCATCTGCTGCTGAGAGTAACTACGCATAAGATTGATTATTGCTCAATCTTGTGATAAGTTATAGTTCATTGAAAGTCTTGTTTACATTTCAAATGTAGTTGAATTGAATAAAGAGTCTATTTCAGCAAGATTCATAGCTGCACTGGTTGAAGATTTTGGTTGTTTTTCTTCATTTATATGAATGCATATCAAATGGAAAACAACTCATAAAGGTTACATAGTTTTACAATAAAGTAATAAAGTTTTCTTAACGTTGTTTATTCAAAGAGTGACGGCTTATGTCTGATAACAAATAATGTGCTGTTGATCCAGAAACTGAAGGACTTTGCGTGATGCTCATTTTTAAGCAATCGCCATGACTGCGCACAATAAAGGAAATATGTTTTTGGATCAGCGACAAAATGGGAAACAAAATTACGATTTGTAATATTGTAATACAATTATGCTCGGTACACGTACAGGTTGTAGTTGCGGTTGAGTCATGACGTTGACACCCATTTGTAATACAATAACGATATTTAATTTGTGGGTGTAAGTGCATTCGATGCATCGGTAACGTACATCGTACCACAGGCAATCGTACGCAAGAATCAAACGCGGGCTGCTCGAGTAACGGTTCAGCCACCTGCGACGAAGTCAGCAGTAATTCCCAGCGAATGCGCTTCTTTACAAGAACTACGTATCAGGCACCGAGCGCACTCGTCATTGTCAAAAAAGATAAAAGCAGAAAAAGGCGAAAATCAATACTCACTATTCGGGATTCATATTTATTTATGTATCGTTCGATAGCTGAAGCCGTGGAAAGTCTTCGCAGATGCAACGGGGGCGTGCGTCGTTCACTCGTTGCGTTAAAAACGTGATTGTATCGCACACAAAATATAAGCAAATTCAGGACAATGGCTACCAAAGACAGATCACTTTTAACATTGACGTAACGGTGCCAAAGTGGCAAACGCGCTTAGTACGCCTGTTCGGTTGAGATCGGCACGGTTAGCGCAACTTCGTGAACGCACTTGTTGAGTAATTTTAGTTCTATTCGGTTGGCGATACTGATTCTTACTTGAAAAAAATATTGCGCTGCTGCAAAGTCTACAGCTGTCACAATATATTTAAAATAAACAAAAAGCGCAACTTATAATATTAATAAAATTGAACCAAATGTATTTCTTTTATAACATAAAATAAAACATATTCTTCAAATATTATGACAGGGTTTAAATGTGCTATTTTGTAGTATTTAGTTTCTTGTTTAGTTCAAGTTTGTTGCAAGAAATCAAAGTTTTTGAAACTACAAAACATTATTTCGGTAACAAATAAACAGACAATTGCAAAAATACTATTTTATTGTCAAATAATTGTAGACTTGTATAATTGCGGACAAAAGGGCAAAGTGCGCAGCAATTCCTCTCTCTTACTTTCACTACATTCACAACATTCACTCACACACTCTCTTCACTCACTAACCGCGATCACACCACCTCTACTATCCACTTTGTACTAAAATCGCGGAAGCTTTGACACTCCGTCAGATTAAACTCGCTTCGCTCTGCGTTCGGTGTGCCCGGTGTGCGATCGTTTGTTAGCTGGGCGAATGCTCGCCGACAGCGTTTTCTTCAATCAACATTAATGAACATATAAACAAAATGGCACGGCACCTGTCTGAGTTCGTGGATATTCTAGAACCTCGACGGAATGAGTTCAGCAACTTCATGTGGGCATCCAGGGAGGTGAATTTGTTATTGCCCAACCGGCAAATCAAGCCCGTTGCACCAGACTCGCATAAAGTGAATGTTTTTAACAGTCCCAGGATACAATTACTTATTGAAAGGGTAAATCTTTAAAATATATTTAAAAAAATATCAAATACATTGATATACTTTGTGGTAGATTGCTCAAGAGCAAGGGGTATCAAAAGCTCATGTGGAGGACCAAGTAAGATTGATCCTGGATGAAATTGGCTTCAAGATGAGTTTGACGCTTATTCGGTGGTTGGGAATCTTCTTGGCGAAGTTTACTTGCCGGGCATGTAGCAGTATTTATGTTAATCAAGAAAGTTTAAACCGGGTAAGTTGCAGAAGGTAATATTTATGATAATTTTTAAAATAAGACCGTTTTATGTCTGTATTTCTACTATATTTTACATTTATCTGCCTTTTTTCATTAAATAGTCTTAAAAGTTGTAAAAAAGCAACCAAAACGATCAAAATACATTAATATTTAAAATATTTATTATCTATCTGATGGAACTTTACTGTATTCGATTCAGAATTAACCGCTTAATCGATTTCTGAAAGCATCATTATTCGAGCGCGTTGCGTTTTTGAGTAATTAATTATTAACTGAGATAAAAAGAATACTAGTGCAGTGCGTCGCGGCTTTATTTTATTCTAGCTATTGATGTTGACCCCTTCCCTTCCAAAAGAAAGATAATAAAAGGGACAAGTTTTTTAAATTTCACTTTTATCTTTGTAATGTTTGATAAAAACTGTACTTGCCATAATCATCACATAAGTATCGCATAATTTGAATCGATTTTCTAAAGAAACATCACTGCACGTTTATTTTTTTATTATTTCATCAATATTTTTACAAATGTTTATGTTACCGCATTTATTTTATGACAAAATTATCTAATTCCTGATCTATGAAAAGAAACAATCATAAATTAATTAAGATTAATAAAATAATACATGTTGTACTTTAATTTTTGAAACATACGATGTTCACAGTTTCATTTACTCATATCATGACTACGCGCAATTCTTATCACAAAACCGGTACACGGTTTGACAAGTATGTGCTATTCATAGCATTCTAGGGTTTCAGTATAATTAAGTGCTCGTCGGGTCTTTTCATGAAGCGCTGAAACACTTGTAGGTCATTTGTTTCCATGGGAAACTCTGCATAGAAAAATGTCACGTGTGATTAGGTATCCATGTATTATTTATTTATGTTCCATTGATTCTTAATCTGGTTGATGGTAGACGTTGCACTTAACACAATGTGACTCACACAGGATGGATATTTGAGTTTTTGCTGTGTGACATGGTTTATTAATGATGTCTGATTAGATCATGTCAAGGGAAAGTGGTCATATTGCGCGATTCTTATTGTAAAACATAAACAAAAACAACGAATATCCAGGTAAAATGCAAATCGGTTTGTTTTCGTCCTCAATATTTTCGTCTGGAACAATGAACGTGAACTTGATGTTGAATTGTCGAGTGTTATGTATTAAAATTTACATTTACTGCGTGGTAGACTAAATTCATTCAAAAGATGGGTATTAAATAACGCGGCAGCATTTTAAATTACATGAATTCGTTAAAACGATGTACGCAAATGATGTTCATGAAATTATGCGTTGCACTTGGACGCAGTCCCGGAAATGTATAAATATCCGAAGGTAATAACCAGGCATTAGTACAGAACTAATGTATCAAAACATGCAAATAATAAAACTTTAACTATTTCGCCAATTTCCCTTTCAAAAACCGAATAAATATTTGTTTATTCATATGTATCCGTTGTTTTTTCAAGGTAAAATCACAATTGGGAAATACACCAACGGTGTTTGTGCCCAGTCATCGGAGCTATGCCGATTTTATCTTAATGTCCTACGTTCTGTTCTCATTCGACATGGAGATACCTGCAATCGCCGCAGGAATGGGTAAAATGACTAAATTATTGATATTAATGTAGCAGTCTATTTGATTATGATGCATTACTATAGATTTTCACGGTATGCTTGGAATGGCCACGGTTCTGAGGAATACCGGTGCATTTTTTATGCGCCGCATTTACAATAACGACGTCCTCTATTGGGATACGTTTCGACAATACGTCCACGATCTGGTCACGCACGGAGATTCGGGCATCGAGTTTTTTATCGAAGGCACCAGGAGTCGAAGTTGCAAGTCTTTACCACCTAAATACGGTATGTTAACGTAAAACAACAATTTATTAGTAATTGCATTGAGGAAATGAGAAAAGATGAAAGTTTTAAACTTTTTGTTGATTCTAGGTTTACTATTCATGATTTTGCGTGCCTTTATAACTGGTGAAGTACCTGATATCCTATTTGTTCCGATAAACATAAGTTACGACCGCGTCATGGAAGAGAAACTATTCGCGTTTGAATTATTGGGAGTGCCTAAACCCAAAGAGAGCACCTCGGTAAGCAACACGCGATTATCTAATATTATCCGCTAATATTGATTATTAATATGTTCTCTAGGGATTTTTCAAAGCGTTGACGATCGTGAATGAAAACTTTGGCAATATTTACTTTGAGTTTGGCGATCCCATCTCTGTAAAACAATTCCTGGGTAGCAAATTAAAACGATTACAGCATGGTATGCGACCGGTGCACTCACAAGAACTTCTCGACGAAGAGAAAGCAGAAATCACTCATCTTGCCGAAAATATTGTTCATTGCCAGCAGAAACTCGCTGTAATTACAACGTTTAATTTGATTGCAGTCGTTTTAACGAATAGCTTAACAATGAATCAGAACATCATGCGATTTGAACAATTAGTAGTGGAAACGATGTGGTTAAAGAGCATCCTGGCGATGTGTGGTGCTGTGGTTGATTTCGACTACGCTAGAAAGAATATTAAAGCTGCTTTGGACGTGCATAAGAATTTGATTCACATGGATGCTGATTCGAATATTACCCTCGTACAGAATGCTATTGTGTTGTCGGGATTGAAGGAATCCAAAGCGAAGTTAAAAGGACACGACCTCAGCGAGAACACGATGACAGTAGCGGTGCCATTTGTCATGTTGCAGATTTATGTGAATCCAACATTACATTATTTAATTAATCATTCCATGGTGGTGGCCATTATTACTAATGCCAGCGAACCGATTGTTGAGGAAAACCTATTTGAAGAGTTTAAATTTTTACGGACACTCTTTGCAAATGATTTCTTCAATTTAAATCAACATTTACACATTGTAAGTGTACTCTGGTTGTAATATTTGAGCGTTGAGTTTTAGTGTCTGTATGTTGTAGGATTTACTGGGGAGTCTAAAAATACTGAAAGATTTGAACGCGATAAAAGAGGAGGCTGGTGTTTATGTGATATCAGATAACAAAAAAGTGCTCCAGTTGCTTACTCACTTGTTAGAACCATTTTTATACTCTTATTTTGTTATCTGTAGCCTCCTCAACAATGTAAGTAAATATTTAATTCCCTTTTCAGAAAATAACACGTGGTTTATTCTTATATTCTAGTTAAGTTCACCGACGTTCGAAGAAAAAGCCATTCTTGCAAAAATCCAAGAAAAACTTGAAGAAATGATCAATTCCAGAGAGGAATTTGTTCATCCATACGTTTTGAGTTTAGATTCAATTTCCATGTGCTTGTTAAGTCTAGTCAACCTCTCAGTACTTAAAAAGAGTCGAGTGTAAGTCATTGTAAAACATTATTATTATTACTCTCTATATAGTCATGCGGTATCATATTGTAGTGCGTATGTGCTAAATGTTGTTTTGTATTTACAGAAGCGGTGCATACAAATACGAAATCAACTCCGACGCGTTGTTTGGATTGACTACCCAGATAAGTGAGTAATCATGGGGTCGACTGGTTGCTTGTTTGCGCAACGTGATGTGCTCACTAAATTGTTTTATTTTCAGAAAAATACGTGCAACATAAAAAGACGTTAAGGGCTCAAATTACATCCGTACTTAAAAACAAATTATAAAATTTGGTATTTTATAGGTAAGCTATTTATTTATTTGGTGTGAGTCTAATCATGAAAAGATAGTACAATATTCTGGTCGTATGTTTAGTCATTTTTAAGATAAGTAATACCAATGATTGTGTTATTGTTTGATTTTTGATGTTATTTTTACCTGTTTGTTATGTAATTTATTTTTTCGTTTTTTTAAACTTGAAACATTGATTTGTTGATGGCGGAAATATGACTTTTTTACCTTGACTGATTCCTGATTAATAAACGGCTATTGTGAGCTATTGTTTTAAAGTGAAAGTATTGTGTGTTTATATTATTGTACATCCGAGTAAAGTGTTACCTTGGTAAGTACAACTTGATTACGTTGAAACATGGTTTTTAAAACGGTTGAATTTTGTATAGAATGTTAGATGGCAGCACGGGGACCGTTTCTATTTTCTCCCACATATTTGCTTCCTTGTTCATCAAACACGTTTGGCACTTTCGGCTCGATCGAGTAGTCGGCCATTTTCCCCAAAACCTTAGAGGCGAGTCGCTTTGCCGGTAAGCGCGTTCTCCAAACGCACGAAATACACGACAAATACACACAATTTCAACGTGTTTATACTGACAAGTACATCTTTCACAGAATAAAACAACATCCACCATGGGCGTCGATATCGAACACATTTCTGGCGGTGATGGTGAGTGTCCCATATATTTTAGCAAAATCACTGCATTCGTTTTGATTCTCACGCGCAATTGTCTACGCAAATGAATTTTCAATGCCAAGGAGTTTGATCTCCTATGCCGCGTTAATTACTTTTTATCGTTATAGAATATTGCGTTATGATCATGTTATTTATGCTTCATTAATTTGTGACCTTGATAGAAACTTGTGTGATTTGCCATTTATGGATTGATTTTGTGTTTATGCAGGCTCAACCTACCCGAAGACGGGACAGACCGTTGTTGTGCACTATACTGGAACATTAGAGAACGGAAACAAATTTGACTCTTCTCGCGATCGCGGTGTGCCATTCAAGTTCCGCATTGGAAAGGGCGAAGTTATCCGAGGTTGGGATGAAGGAGTTGCCAAGGTATAGATATATGGACCACTCTTTAACCATGAGTTCTTATCTTATCATGATGATTTCATTCCTTGCGCTCCTAATTCGCTTGAGGACAAACACTGGCGATTGCAAAACACGTGTGTTTTGTAGTCCTGAACAATTCTGTCATTGTTATAATCTAACCTTTTCAAATCAATATATAAGGATTTAATTATTTTTCAGCTGAGCATTGGCCAAAGGGCAAGACTTGTCTGCTCCCCAGACTATGCATATGGTTCCAGAGGCCATCCTGGTGTCATCCCACCAAACTCCACCCTCATCTTTGATGTGGAGCTATTGAGAGTAGAGTAGATGGATTGTACGATCCGAACGTTCAGCTCTAAACACTAATATGTCACGATCTTAGTTACGAATTGAATTCAGTACATAACCATTCTGCATTTACTAGATAACTTGATAATCTGATGATTCGAAAAGCAATTGAATTGTTAAGTGCATTTAACTACTAAGCAACCTGCAACAAAACAAACTAAATGATATACTTACATATACATAATGACTTACGCAAAAATTCAGTCAGGGCTACACAAATTTTACATGTTTATAAAATGAATAAGCAGTCAATAACAATCAAACGTGGACTTCTATGAAGTATCATCCACACAAGCAACATCACCACGCAGCATGTAACTTAAATACGACTATATATGATGTTCTTTTGTAAGTATTTATTTGAATACTTCCCACCGTTCAGCGGGGTACTTCGGTAAATACGTGTGTAGAGAATATGCTTCATGTTTGATTTCAATTCATTGCAATCAGGTATTTGTGTGTAATGTGAATGTCCCAAAAATGAAAAAATAATGAAATAAATGTCGAAAGAAATGCAAACAAAGCCTTTACCCACATTCGTCCACTGTTTCTGCAAAGAAAAAATACGCTATTTTCTTTTCATGATCACTGGTTGCATAATAATATTGTAATTTAACTAAGTGATTGACAACATACTTCAATAATGCACATAAAAGATGAAAAATAGTTTGTCGGGCTATTTTGCATAATAATTTGCATATGCACGGCGCATATTTCTATATTTGTTGTTATCAAAGTAAATTACAAGCATATATTACAAATGTGTGTAAAAACTGAACAGAAAATTATTCGGCTTATCTTTTAATGTATTGACAACTTGCCATGTCGTGTGCAAACAGTGCAATATCCTTAACAAAATACTGAAATTGTTTTATTTCAGTCTAGTGTCGATTCGTAGAGGGTTTGTGGTAAAATGCTCTTAAATTTTCACTTCAACTATAATAAGCAACATTTACGACAAGTATGCCGCCATTTTATCGCTGAATTTTAAGAAATTTGGGTGAAATATGGAATATTATCGTTTTTAGTGTTTATTGGCTCTTGCTGTAGCTATCGATTGTATGATCGGAGGAGCAGAGCTCAGTTTCTCAGCAACTTTACTGCCACAACTTGAAGAAACAAATTCTACGATCAAATTTACGGAAAATGAAGAAACCTACTTTGGTATAGTTTATTTTAATTGTCTCTAGGCCGTTAATATTTGTAAATTATTTATTTTAGCGTCGGCACTTGCTTTATTTTGCCTCCCCGGAACAATCATAGGTTGTTTCGTGCTGGATTGGTTTGGACGGAAGTGGACTTATGCTTTTGTAGCATTTTTGAACGTCATGACATGGACTATAATTACATTTGCCACACAAGCCTGGCATTTATTTCTTGCCAGGATTCTTCAAGGTCTTACAATAGGAATTAGTTTTCCAGTGTGCATGTGCTTCGTTAGTGAAGTATCTTCAGTTAAACATCGCAGTGCGTTTATTAATATTCTCAACATTGGCGTTGCAATTGGTCAGCTAATGGTAGACGCATTGGGTAGTTATTATCCTTGGCGACTCTCTGCAGTCGTTTTGGTTGGTTTGTCAATTATAGACTGTGCTTTATTCTTGTACTTAAACAACACACACGTATGGTACTTGGCTCGAAAAGACTTTGAGGGTGCAAAACAAGCTTATTTCTGGTATAACACAACGAATGCAGAAAATACTACTGATTACAATCAACAGGTTGAACAAGTAGACATACACAACGCAACAACAAGGAAAGATTATTGGAAGGCATGTCGACAGAGGGAGTTTATAATTCCCTTGTTACTGATGTGTTGGTTTTATATAACTTCCGGTTTTCCGGTGGTTACGCCATTGCGTTATATTCTGTTCAAGTAATGAGAAATGTAGTCTCATTTGACGAGTACCTAACGACGATATTCATTGATATTATTCGCATTCTAGCCGCCATCTTGACCGCTGTATGCGTCAAACATCTCCGAATACGTGTAATTATTAATTCATGTGTAGTTCTATGCGTGGCCTCTCTAATCACACTTTGTATTGCGTTATTTTGGCAAGACCAGTGGTCCCCGTTTCGTTGGATAGTTTTAGGGCGATATTGTTTTATACGGTTGTTTATAACATTGGAATTATCAATATGTCGAATGTGTGCATGGGTGAACTGTTTACCGGAGTCACCAAGCCTTTGGGCACATGTTTATCGGTGATATTTTTGTTCGGAATGAATTTTATTATAGCGTTGATAATTCCAATAATGTTTAGAGATCTTGGAAATGTAGGAACGTTTTTGTTCTTTGCTGTGTGCATTATTGTTGGTGGAGTAGGATTGTTTATTTGGTTACCGGAAACAAGGAATGTGACTAACGATCAAATTAGGAATCACTTTAAAAAACAAAAATCTTAAACGCAGTATGCAAGCATTTTTATGATACTTATGATAAAACCATAAAGCATGAATGACTTGTTTTTTGAATGTAAGTGAATAATATTTTGCAGTCTAGATGTTACGAAAATAAAGCTATAATTTACTAGTCACTTTGCATATCACATGCCGATTGGTAAAACAATATATTATATGCACGTGTAATACCAACAATGCGCTCAGTTTACTCAGCACTCAATTTCGTTATAGTTTACAAAATCTATTAACTTATTATTACCAATCAATTTCCCAGAAAAAAAGGTATCAATGCCCGATAGGTAATTTTAAAAATTGAGTACGTGCGGAACGTGTTAATACCAAATTACAACACCGTAGTTTTAAATATGTTCGTGTACGTTTAAAGAATGTGTTTGGATAAGTTTATCGTCATTGTTTTCATTTCCATGATACGATCGCCGCGCTTGACTTTCCACGAGTTGCGTGCCGTGAGCCTTGTAAAATGTCTCATTAAAGTTAATATGATTTTAACGTTTGTGAAAAACTGTCGTGGCTGAATACTCCACGTTGTCGGACACACTGACGACTATTTAAAACAATCACTCTTGTTTTTTACTCGTGATTAATGTATCCAAAAGCTACAGGAAACAAAGAAGTATTGCGACAAGTAAGTTTTTCGTTTTTCAATTTATTATCGATTTATATAAACAAATACAGTAATTATATTCTGTTTATTGCAGTGTTTGTTGGGACTGGTAGTGACAATCGATTGTTTCATAGGTGGGACGGGTTTAAATTTCTCGGCCACTTTATTACCTCAACTGAATAAAGATGATTCTTCATTGAAGATTACTGAAGATCAAGGCACATGGATTGGTGATTAAGTTGCATAAGAATTGGTTACCATTTTGTAATTTTTTGTTTTCTTTAAACAGCATCTGTATTAATCTTAGCCTGCCTCCCGGAACCATCGTGGGCACGTTCCTAGTTGAATTAATTGGTCGTAAATGGACTTACGCCTTGGTAGCATTGTCCAATTCTACATCATGGTTGATAATCGCAACGAGTTCCGGAGTTTCACAACTTATACTAGGCAGGAGTCTACTGGGTTTTGCCCTAGGCATGAGCTATCCAGCTTGTTACTGTTTCATTGGCGAAGTAGTAATGGTAAAATATCGCAGTATGTTGTTGAACATAATCAACATCGGCGGTACCTTCGGAATGCTATTCTCTGATTTAATGGGCACGTTTTACTCCTGGCGCGTTGCGGCGTATGTTATCACCGCCTTGGGACTGACATATTTCTGTATATTGCTGTACTTGAAAGACACTTACGTCTGGTATTTGAATCACAATCGTATTGAAGAAGCGCAACATGCGTACTTTTGGTACGTAAGAGAATCGCCTGCGAATGCACAGGATTATAACGATAGAGTAAACCAGGTTAAGATAAGTCAAGGGATATCCTTTCGGATGGTGGCGAGAGAATGTAAAAAACGAGAGTTTATCATTCCGTTGTTCATCATGTTCTGGTTTTCGTCCACTGTGGTGTTTACAGGTGGTTCCGGTATAGCTTTATACTCAGTTACAATAATGGATAGGGTTGTCAACATGGATGAATACATCACAACGCTTATTATTGATGTCATTAGAATTCTGGCGGCGTTAGTTACGATTTTGGTTTTGAAGTATTTTCCAATTCGTTGGATTATAAACACTTCTTCAGTGCTATGCGCAACTTTTTTGTTGGTGTTCTCAGGTTCATTGTACTGGGAATCATCTTGGATTGGCTTTCAATGGATTGCTTTAGTGGCAATTGTCTCGTTTAACTTCTTTTACAGTCTGGGATATATTAATATTAACAATATAAGTTTAGGGGAATTATTTACCGGAATTACGAAATCAGTCGGTACGACAATATCTGTCATGCATCTTTATTGCATGAATTTTATAATAGCACAGTTGATACCAAAAATGTTTGCAAATTTAGGAAATGTTTGGACGTTTTTAGTGTTTGCCATTTGTAATATTATTGGAGGTGTGGGATTGTTTTTGTTTATGCCTGAAACTAGAAATTTTACTAATGAACAAATCAGGGAAAACTTTCGAAGTTTTGGCAAGAATAAAATAAACAAGATGTAAATTTTAAGTTATTGTATGATGTTGATTTTACAAATAAAACTTTTTTTGAACGAATAATATTTAATGCGTCTTAAAAATCTACGTCATCTCCTCACGCGTTTTCATACAATATTGGAGCGTCTAGTTTTGATAAAATTAATATGTTTTTTATTACTGCTACCGATTCTGATAATCGGAAACAAGTTGTTGTTGACATTATTTAATCGGGAAGCTAATGAGTAGAACAAAACAATTATTAGGCCAAAAACAAAGTATAACACTTACAAAAATTCCAATTAATTGAAAATTAACACTTAAAATCCTAAACGGACTCAATTTTATTCTATATGATAAGTAAAAACTAATTCGAAGGTAAGAAGCACGTGTTCCATAAATGATCACAATAAATATTCTTAATATTCTTAAAATTACGTCTGAACTATTTCAATGTCCCGCTTACACTCAACAAAACACAAAAATGTAACAATATCGTAAAACTACATCGTAATAAAACCTGTAGTTATGCATTATCTGAGAAACTGGTAGATAAAAATGAAAATTATTGAGTTTTATGCATTTACGCCGTGGTTGTTTATATTGAACTCACCATCTTTGCGCTTCGGCATTGACACTCGTAGAAATGTCGTTGAAGCACGTCAAAAAACATTCAGTGCCCATCATCGAAAGCTTCATTGAAGAAACACAACTAAACGCATTCAACAACACAGAAACACGTTACACTTTTCGGCAGGTAAATCAATTTTTAAAATTTGAATACAAAAAGAAAACAAATTTATTCAATTTAAAAAATTTGCAGTCATTGTTAGCATTCTCTAGTCTACTTCAAGCAGCATGCGGAGGTTCCGTATTAGGTTTCTCTTCAATTTTATTCCCACAACTAGAAGAAAGTAAAGAAATTGTTCTCACAATTGATCAAGCATCATGGATCGGTTAGTATCCATCAAAATATAAAACAAAATTTATTAACTTTGTTATTTTTAGCTTCAATACCAACATTGGTCATGTTACCAGTTGTTTTATCCGCTGGATGGATGTTGGGACTTTTCGGACGACGCCTATCTGTAATCATGGTTTTCATTACCACCTTACTCGCATGGTTAACAACTTACTTCGCCAATAGCTATGAAACCCTTTTCGCTAGCAGATTCATAGCTGGAATATTCGTGGGTGGTGCCTATCCGGTTGTAGTAACTTACATGGGTGAAACAACGCATCCAAGAATCCGCGCAGTTTGTTTAGCGGGCGTCCCATTGGGATGCGCCGTTGGAGTTTTACTCACGCAATTCTTAGGAATATATCTGCACTGGCGCAAAGTGGCCCTTATCTTAGCCACATTTCCAATCTACAATTTACTAATCTGTTCCTACATAAAAGAATCATACATTTGGTTATTGAACAAAAACCGTGTGGACGAAGCGAGACGCGCGTTTGTCTGGTTCCGAGGAATAGACATCGACGCAAAAGCAGAATTCATGGCTGCCTTGGACTCCAAAGACAACGTCGTTGCTATAAACAGTTCAATCAAAGAAAAAATCAAATTTTGTTTTAGTAAAGCCTTCGTAATGCCATTTCTTCTCACAGCTTTACTATTTTTAACCAGCGAATTCTCTGGAGACACCGCTTTAATTTTCTACACGTCACACATTATCAAAATCATCACGAATGATCCGGAAGCCCAATACTACTCAAATCTTATTCTGAATATTCTAAGAGTGATTGCTACGTTTGCTAGTGCGATGTTAATCAAACGATTCTCGATTCGTACTGTTTTCATCACGACTGGATTCTGTTTGGCGTGCTCATTGGCTAACATCTCTTTGTTTTTGTATTTGAGCGGTGCGTATCCAGAAAACAAAGCGTTTCCATTGATTTGTTTGGTGTCGGTGATTGTGAACGTGATATTCTTCGCGCTCGGATTGGGACCGCTGCCGACTGTAATTTGCGGGGAGATGTATCCAGCTTCTGTGCGTGATATTGGCGGCGCTCTGAGCGCATTCTTATCGTTCACGTCGCTGTTTACAATCGTGAAACTGATGCCGCACTTTTTCGTGCTTGTTAATCCGGAGTTCATATTTTTAATGTTTGCTTGCTGCACTTTAACTGGGGTTACGGTCATGTGCTTTGTTCTCCCGAACACGAAAAACAAGACGTTGAAAGAGTTGGAGAATTTTTACGAGGCGTAAACAGATTGTGTAAATATGTAGATTAGCGCGTGTACTTTTTGGGTATATTGTTATTGTAAATGTAAGTAGGTACTATTACATTAATAGCTAGAGTGGTTGATAAATTGATTTATTTATGACTATAAGGTGTAAGTAAGTTGTTTTAAGTTTTATTGTACAGTTTAAACAAGGTAGAAGATATAATTTAAGTTAAAAAGATGAGAAAGTAAATAAAAACAATTAAATTTTAAAATTTCAAGAGTATAACAATATTTATTTTTTTTCCGCGTTTATGGTCGTTGATGAGATAATTTTTAATTCGAAATTGTTAATATCCGTTAGTCGCCTTCAGTGTCAACGCTTGTTATACAATTCACTTGTGTAGTTAAATTAAGGCATAATTTATGTCCCCAAGACAGAACTATTCAGTCTTTTATAGATGCCTAAACCAAAATAGTAATATTCTTTTAAGAAATATGACAAAAACGTAAAAGGAAATAATGTTTCACCCAAAAAAACTATTAATTAACTATTCTTGATATTAATAAGTAAATGTAACTACAAGTCCTATCAAAGAAGACACTTGAAACAATTGTTTACGATTTAAATTGTTTTTAAAACATTTGTGCGTACGAATATGAAAACATTGTTTACCAATTCTTGTCACTGATATTCACTGATGGTCGTTTTGTACAGCTATTGTTTGACAACAATATTAACACTGCAACTTTGTTGTTACAAAAATTCGAGACGATAAAACATCGTTCGCCATGTATGTACATTGGTTACTTGTCCAATGCGTTTATTAAAGGATTATATCCATTGAAGCAACATCATTCGACAAGTTTGGTTGCGACGCGGACATCATGGAAACACATTCGAACCGAACTTATTTATTTCGGCAAGTAAGTACCCACACAGTAACAGTAAAATACTATTCGTAGATATAGAATTTAATTTTAATTAATGTTTTAGAGTTTGTTTGCAATCACAGCATTACTTCATGGTATCTGTGCTGGTAGTGTTTTTGGTTACACGTCAATTCTATTCCAACAATTGCAAGATGCTCAAAATACTTCCAATGCAAATGAAACTGTTATAACATTGACGGCTGGGCAACAATCATGGATAGGTATGTGTTGTGGTGGGATAATATCATTATTACTTTTATTTTGTTTATTATTCATTAATTTAGCGTCTGTACCAACACTTGCAATGATTCCATCAACGTTAATCACCAGTTGGGCGTTAGAACAATTCGGACGAAAGAAAATGGCGCTGACTGCGATTTTATTTAATCTAGCAGGATGGGTAACTATGTACTTTTCGCACACCTACGAAGTTATGTTGGCTTCACGGACATTTTCGGGAGTCTTCACTGGAATGGGTTACTCTGTCTTCATCACATATCTCGGCGAAGTGACAGCACCATCCGTGCGAGCGTTCTTTCTCAGTTTTTTACCCTTGGGATGCACAATAGGTGTATTTATCTGTCAATTGTTGGGCACTCTATTCAATTGGAAGACAATTGCTCTATTGCTGAGCGCTATTCCAATATACAACACACTGATGATAACATTCTACATGTCCGAATCTTACATCTGGTTTAAAAATCGCAGCCAAATCAAAAAAGCCTACGCTGCTTTCATATGGTATAGAGGATTTGGTCCCAAGGCTAAAGATGAATTTACAAAAGCTACGGAAATGGTGGAAATCTTTCCGGAGGCAACTTTTACTGAGAAGATTCGTTCCTGTGCAGATAGATCATTCCTGATGCCATTCGGTATCACAACGTTGACATTCATCACGAATCAGTTGTCGGGAAACATGGCACTAGTTTTCTACACGTCTACAATCATTGGTATTATTTCAGACGATCATAATGTTCAATATTATTCAACAATTCTGCTTAATATTTTACGGATCGTGGCAACTATAGCTTCCTGTATTCTGGTAAAAGTTGTTTCCGTGCGTAAAGTATTAACGGTGGGGGGATTGCTGTTGTCTGGGTCATTGGTAAATTTGGCACTATTTTTGTATTTGTCAACCGTGTACCCAGAAACTAAGGCATTCCCTATTGTTTGCATGGTTTCGGTTATTTCGAATGTGATCGCGTTTGCGACAAGTATAGGGCCATTACCATCTGTCATTTGTGGTGAGTTGTTTCCGGCAAAAACTAGAGGTATTGGTGCACCGCTCAGCGCTTGCTGCTCGTTCATTTCGCTGTTTATTATTATTAAAGTGTTGCCGATTATGTTAAAAATGCTGACGCCTGCGGGTACCTTTTTGTTTTTTGCGATATGCACGTTTGTTGGAGTTAATATTATTGCTTTGTTATTACCAGATACAAAGAATAAGACACTTAAAGATATTGAGAATATTTATCAACATTAGCAATGTTAGTTATTCAATTTTTACATCGTTTATCTTATGAAGAACATATATTTGAATGAAACTCATTTATAAATAAGGAAAATATATTTTAAATTCCGTTTTATTACAATATGTTTTTCAGTTTAATACGAAAGTATATCATTATTACTAAAACTATTTAAAATATATCTAAAATTTTTGAGTAATAATTAATATTGTACAAGTTTTGATCGTTTTCTTAACAAAATAAAGAATAAAAACAATAAACAAAAACAAAATCAAAAACGGGAATTGTTGCGACCTCTGTCAGATCTACTCCAAAACAAAGCAGCAGCACTGCGTCATATTTTTCTCAAACCAGTCGCGAAGTCACGGCGAGTACGAAGGCCACAAACAATAATTTGTAATTAAACTAAAATGATGAAACAAATTTAACATACCATACGAAATACATTCTATTCATCTGTTAATGGATTTTATTTACATCACAGTATCAAGATGAATCATTCACGGCGAACAAAAGTAAGTGCGCATTGATAATTACGAAAATCCGTTAAAGTAACCTTACATAAATTTAAATTCTAGCGCGGAATACTCCAAATTGGAAACAAAAACATCTTCATCTACGAGGGCATAAATATTGTTGGGCGAAGCATGCAAGCAGTAGTAATTTTAAGGGACCTAGTGAGTAAATAAATATTTAGACATGTTATTATCTTCTAAAGTTGAATATTTTAGGTCGCAAGTCAACAACATGCTATCTTTACTATTATCAATGATGCCCATTATATCTCTGATGTTAACTCCACAAATGGCACTAAACTTAATGGTACCAACCTATCACCATTTCAAATGTATCTGCTGGAAGAAGGCAGTGAAATTGAATTCACTCCACAATTTATTGGAAAGTACAAGAAGATACATGATAAAAATTCATCACAAATATATACTCCACAATATGAATCTCAAAATACACAGACAGAGGAAGGTTTTTATGAAGCCAGCACACAAGTGGAAATGGTTGACAAGACAAAAGCTATGTTCAATGATGACATGGATGATGATTTATCAAAGATGGTCATTGATACACAAATGATTAATGATTCCATGATTGGGAAGAATAAACCTGCAGCTCCAGAGGAAAGTATACATGAAGCTGAAACCCAGTTGATGGTAAATGTTCCAAGTATTAATGAGGCACCAACACAATTGGTCACTAAGAGATGTTCTGTTGTAAGTGCATTTGTGGATTCTCAATTTTTTGCTGGAAATACTCAACATGTTGAAATTGCAATGGAACCATCTGGTGATAAGTTAGATTTGAATGGTGATGCCCCAAATTCTATTGATGAGGAATCCAGAAATATTCCTACTAATGAAATAGGTCCTGAAACATCAACTACTCAGCCACTACCTTTGACTAATGTTTTGGAAAATGAAATAACAGAAGAAATTGTAAAAGCAGTCCCACAATCAAGTCAATTAGCTACAGATCTTACTGAAGAGGAGTCTTGTTCAAATGAACCTGGGGAATGTTCAGAGAAATTAAGAAAAATTAATGAAAGTATATCTGCACAATCTGATAAAGCTGATTCTCAAGCCCAAACACAAAATTCTACCGAAAACAGTTTAAATTTAAAATTGTCACTAACACAAGATAAAGATAATGATAATGGGAATAATAGTAATGTTTCTGTAGGTTTAAAGTCAGGTATGACTCAGTCTACTTTAGAGTTGCTCAATGAATTTGCTAAATCAAGAAAGGAAAAAAGTATAACTGGAGCAAATTCTGATGAAGAAGTGCTTGAGGAATCGGAGATTTTACCTAATGATGGATATGGCAGTGATGAATCTATTGATTTCTTAGCAGGAATGGGTAATTCTACTTTAGAAACTATTAACGCATATGCTAGAATACTAAATGAAAGAAACAAAATCGAAAATTCTGAAAAAGAAGCAATTGCGGAATCAGCTAAGATTTTACCCGAATCTGATGATGAAGGCATTGTTAAACAGAAAGTTAGGTCTAGCGTGCGGAGAAGTCGATTCATCATCAGTGATTCTGAAGACAGTGCTGGAGAGGAAGTAGAAACTAAGATCACAGAACCTAAAACTATAGAGAATTCTGTGCTATCAGATTGTGAGGATTCATTTGTAGCAAGAAAATCGATTGGTAACGCAAGTCTTGATTACATACCAGCCACGCAGGATGCTTCATTTTCACGGACTAGTGATGTTGCTTTCAAGTTAGGATTAAGTCGTGTTCAGGAATTATGTGAATCCGGTGATATTTCTGCTTTGCAAATAAGTACAACAGAAAAAGATGAATCAGTTATAAACGACAGCGTTGTAGGAGAAAAGGTTAATATGCCAAATGAATCTCTGCATGATACACCCAGGAAATCATTTGATAATGAATCTCAAGAATTTGTTGTACAAAAGGCCAATTCTAATGTTGTTCGCGATACAGAATCAACTGACTTTCTTGTCCCAACTCAACCAATTTGTAAACGAACTCGATCGTCAGTTGGCTTAAATTCGTCCGATTTAATACCTGCCACTCAAGATGTGTGCGATGATGTTGATTTTGACGCTCCTACACAGCCTATACTTAAAACTAAGCCAGGTGTGGTTCAAAATGGTATGGTTGATGAAGATGTAGATTTTTCGGCACCTACTCAACCAATTATTGCTTCTGAATGTAATGCGTTGACTTTTGATATCGAGAGTGAAGTATTTTGCATGCCTACTCAACCCGTTGCGGAATTTGCAAAGTCAAAAAAAGGATCACGCAATTCGTGTAATACTAGCAAACTTACTCAGTCAGAGAATTTTGATTTTGATGCACCTACTCAGAAATTGTGTGATAACGTTTTCGACGCTGCGACACAGAAGTTAAAAATGTGTGATAACGTTTCTAACGCCGAAACGCAGAAGTTGAATGATGTTGATTTTGATGCCCCCACACAACAATTAGAAGCTCAAGCACTTTGTACAGAACAAGAAAAAGATGATATTGATTTTGAGGCCCCAACGCAGCCTATCATACAACCAGCTAAAGTGGTTCCAGTGCCACACATAGAAGAAGAAACTGATTTTGAATCTCCCACTCAACCGATAATGCGCAATGATAATGATTGTGCTATTAATGAACCCCATCAAGTTATGAAAAGAGTTCAAGAAATTGAAAGTCAACTGGAAGTCTTGTTTGAAACGCAAAATGTTACGCTATCGACCGCAGATAGCTCAAGACCAACAAATCCTTTAGCAAGTTTAATAGAAACATGTTCCACTCAAGATGTTATCAGTAGTTTAACTGGAGGAGGAACAAAACGCTCAAGTGATGAATTTGACGTTAATGGCCAATCAAAACGAGCTAAAACAACAGCAACTCCAAAAGCGAAAACAACAAGCAAACGGAAAAGTATTGATACACCTGAATTAGATAATAGTCGAAAATCTTCCATCAAAGATATGGATGTAACTAATGCGAATAAAAATAAGTCGATTTTAGACTTTTTCGGGAAAGCAAGTTCTACCATGATCGAAAATTCCATAAATGGCAAGGTATCTTCTAAGTTATCTATGATTAAGAAGCAAATTGCAACTGATGTGCTAGATTCGGTATCTAATGTTGAGGTTGAATGTTTGGCAGACACAATCCCAATGGTAGCAATGGATAGCACTGATAATTTTAAGCACACCCAGGTAGTAGAAGATCAGACAATGACGGCGGATAAAACATTAGACATTACTGCAGCGAGGAAAAAAAAGCGGAAGTTACTAGATGAAGAAACTATGTGCTCCATGCCCACCCCGGAACCTGTTAAGACAATCGATCTTACGGACGACGACAAAAATGAAATGAAATCGACGGAAACTCCAAAGGCATGTATTAAAAAAACAAAAACCACGGCGAAAACAAACACCACAAAAAGAAATACGCGGCAAACTCGCGGTAGTGTCAGATTCGAAGAAAGTTCTGATGATTCGGATGAAGAGTGTAAAGTTGCTACAAAGAAAACAAGGGGTAGGCCCCCAAAAAACGTTCGTGCAAGTACCCGTGCTAAGAAGAGTGTTAATTACAAGGAAAATCACGAGAAATCTAAATCAACTCGTAGTCACCAGAATAATTCTTCAGATAGTGAGAAGGAGGACAAACGAATAATTATAACAGTTCCAGAGAAACAAATTAAACTCGTGATTACTGATGAGGAAGACTTGAAGAAGAAAGAAATTAAATCTGATATTAAGAAAGTGAGTCGATCTTCGAAAATTAAAGAGGAAGTAACTATGTCACCAGAGCGGAGCAAACGAGTTACGAAACCGAAGGTTATTTTCACGATGTTGGATGATCCAAAACTTAAGCAAATTGTTCGGTCCCTAGGTGGTTCAATTGTGGAGAAAATTGCCCAAAGCACTGTTCTGGTTACGGAGAAAGTGCAACGTACGTTGAAACTATTGTCTGCAATTGGTAGATCAATACCAATCTGCTCTCCAGAGTGGTTGATGGAGTGTAAGAAAGCGCACGCTTTCCTAGATCCGTGGGACTACCTAATTAAAGATCCTGATGCTGAGAAAATGTGGAAGTTCAAAATTGGACAGACATTGGAAATGAGTAAGCGCTCCAAGATATTCGCGGGCATTCAATTTTTGTTAGTTACTACTTTATCGGTGGATGTAATCAAAGGTGGAATTGAGGCAAATGGCGGCAAAGTGGTCACTCGCAAACCAGCAAACGACAATTTTATTGTTGTCGGTGATGCTGCGCACCAATCCAAGTATGCAACCTACTTGAAAAGTAAAGTGAAGGTTGTATCGGCAGAAGCGATTCTTGTTGGGATTTTAAGACAGGAAATCGCGTTCGATGAGTTCGCATTGAGTTAAATGGATGGATCTATTTTATATTATAACGTTATTGTATATGTATTTGTTATAAAAATATCTTTGATTATATTAAGGGTTGTGTGCCCAAATTGGAACCTAATTTAATGTGCTTCTGTGCATTACTGAATTATTACATTTTATATTTTATACAAATAAATATTTATTTTGTAGCTTCAAACCAGTTGTCTGTAAGGTAAAGCCGTCGAACTGTATGGAAGAAGCAAATAGTTGTAAAGTGGAGCTGTTTCTCATTAGATGTCGCTACCTTGAACTAAGTAATCTCGATTTATTGATTTTTATAGTATGACACCTGCATTAATAAAATGCAACTAATTTCGTTGCGCTGGTGACAAGATTTAAACATTACAAACAAACATCTAACGTGTTTGCGTCGCCACATCAACAACATCGCATAGGTTGTGTACTCTACTTGTTTTCTTATCAAAATGCCACCTTTAGAAGTAAGTTTATAAACATTAAACATATAATTACAAACTTTAAAACTCACTTATTTCAATTAAGGACACGGGAAACACCGAAAAGAAAACAATCATATTTAACGCGTCGCGCAATGAGCTCTTCAAGCTGAACGAGAACTACAAGACGTTCCATCGCAAAGTGAAAATCTTCTGGAAGCTGACGGTGTAATTATTTACCGTGCGCACGAATGATTTATCGTTTTAACGTTGCTTTCGGGCGCTGTGCGTTGCAGGAACAAGGAAGAAATATCGTCGCAGTTATTAAAGAATTGCTCACTGCTAATATTGCCGGGGCCGCAAGGGCAATTCGAGGAGAGCGAAATTAATGCGATGCGCGGTTATTTGCGCGAGGGCGGGCGGATGTTGGTACTTCTTGCTGAGAGCAGTCAGGACGACACCGGTAACATCAACATCCTTCTGGAAGAATACGGCATCTACGTGAATATGGGTTGGTTATTGTATTTCCAACTGCAATCGGTTAATTTAAACACGTCACGTTTCAGATTCACTAATTCGCACGCACTACTACAAGTATTTCCATCCGAAGGAGTGCTACATCGCCGACGCGACGGTGAACACGGCGCTCTACGCGAACAAGTCGGAAAATCTGAATCTGATTTATCCGCACGGCGCCACGATGAATGTGAATAAGCCCAGCTCGGTGGCGTTCACCAGTGGCAGCGCAACGTTTCCGGTTGATAGGCCGTTGGGGGCCGTATATTACAATCAGAATGGCGGTAAGTGCTGCAAATCCACCCGAAGTGAGCATCAGTCGTGCAGTCGGGTGAAAGCGAGAGTTCAGTCTGTTTCAAGTTTTATATTTTAGGCGGCAGACTGGTCGCGGTCGGCTCCGGCCACATGTTCATCGACAAGTACATCGACCAAGAGAAGAACGATAAATTCAGGGAGTTACTCTTCGAGTTCCTAATGAGGACCGACGCAGACGTCCGGATGTCCACGATGGATCATGATGATCTAGACGTCAGAGAAATATTTTTCTTTGCTTTTAAATTATAATTAATCGATTGTTTAATTATCTGTCTAGGCTTTGGATCATCACATTGTACCGGATACAGGGGAACTTGCCAATCGGCCAAAACTTTGTCTAACTGATGCGATAACTCATTCGGTATCTTTGGATTACAACAAGTTGTTTGATCATAAAACGTATTCCATGAATACGAATTTGGGTAAAAACTCAATTAGTGCATATATTTTACATTTATTTTGTGTTAATTTTGTTTAGTTCCGGATGCTTTGAAACTCTTCGAACGATTAGGTGTGAAACATCAACCGCTGAAAGTGATAAGTCCGAACTTTGAAGCACCACTGCCGCCATTACAAGCCGCCGTATGTATGAATTCAGGGTTGTCATAATATTTTTTCTGACATTCGTATATATCAAAAGTTGCGACGCAATTGTTGTACAATAATATCAATAACAGCAAATTACGTTTGAAATTCACGTAAATTGGGATAAAATTTGATGTATGGTTAATTTTTGCAAGCACGTTCCTGAACAGCAATTTCCGGCAATTTTTCCTTAAATGGAAACCACTTTTTCCAGGTGTTCCCACCATCGTTCCGGGAATTACCACCGCCGCCGCTCGAGCTCTTCGATTTGGACGAGGCGTTCAGCTCGGTGTTCTCGAAACTCGCGCAATTTACCAATAAATATTTGATGTCATCCGCCCAGCAGCATCCGGGCAGTATTGGCGGTGCACCGCCAACGGAGAAAGAACTCGACTTCTACATAAAAGAATGCTCGAACATTGTGCGTCTCGATGGGGATTACTCTGACCCCAAGCAGATTTTATACACACTGGGTGTACACTGCGCGCAATTCAAGAGCATCGACACCATCAAATAGATTTACATATTTGCAAAAAAAGGGGCACAAAGTTTAATATTTCCAAGTCAACCGGAACGAGCACGGCAGTTGGTTGCACTTTGCACTTGTTACGTTAAAGTCGACAAGGACAAGTTCTTACGAATTATTTGTATTTGAATGGCGTAATAATAGAAAAGAGGTGACGGCATAAAGAGGGTAATTTTTTTAGGTATAGGGTGTAAGGGTGGGGTCTACAAGTGCGAATGTAGTATAGATGGAGGGTTGAGATAAAACACGCAACACACCCTTATTACAGAAGGTGGTTAATATTGCACATGATATTTACAAAAATAATACAACTATACCTCTAACGAAGATAATTATCCTAATTAGTAGTAACAATTGTGTTCGTTGTATGGTTGTTTTAGTTAGCGCTGTAATTAGCAGTCGACTGATTAAGGAAAGAGCGAAACGCAGTTGAAATTATCTCCGACGCGTTAGAAACGTTCATCATGTCGTCTTTCCTGATGTGGCGATGTTGAAAACCTAGGAGCAGATCAAGAGCCGTCGGCCGGCGGGCGCGCCGCCATACAACAAGAATAAAACCTGTTGAATGAAACCGTTAAAGCGTTTCGACTGTTTCGAGATCCATTTAAAGCGCGGATTCTGCACTCGCCCCGCATGCAGTAGTGTGGACCAGTATCGCCGCACCAGTACTGACCTCTTGAACCGCGAGCGCTCAACCCTTTTTCATCTGCACCCCTATACATGTATGCCTTGATTGCGCCTGTTTCATGCGTCCAGCATCCAGCCGCATACACTAACCTGTTTCAATTTCAGCTGACCACTGGCCAGCATTCCCACACATACGCATTCAACTCACGATGGCGGTTAGGGAGTTGCACCCGCTAGCTGGATTCTGGCGACTGGACCCTGGTCAAGGAACGACCGCTGGACTTTTAAATTTTAAACGTCTCGCGCCGGAAGCCGGTTTCGTTAATTTTTAATACAGGTTCAAGATGCAAATGCAACGCGGTTGATATGAAATGCTGTAACCGTTAATTTTTTTTTTGTGTATGTGTGTGATAAATTTGTAGCCAGCAAGTAAGTTTGTTGTTTGCATTTTGAAGATGCAGAGTTGAGGTGAGGCGAAAACGCTAATTAGAAACGCTCTGTTAACATTGTCGGGTGCCGCGTTTGGTGCGCGACGGTTTTCATCCGCGCCCGCCTCCGCACCGTCCCCACGACGGTTCATTAAACGATCCAAGCCCGTGCGGCGAGCATTGCCGACACAGATTCCGGCGACGCGGACTTTCTCGTTGCGGCGTTGCGCCAACCGAGTGAAGATAATCGCCCATAGGAAAGATCTTCATTACCGAACCGCCGACCCGGCGCGCGGTGTTTTTTTTCTTCTCATTCTTGCGTGCGATATTTGTCGGTGGCGCAGAATTTATTGAGTGGGTGGCGGTATTACGGTATAAATCATCCCTTACAGAGTACAGATATAAAATAAATACAAAATCCACTCTTAAACATTTAAAAAAATATCAAAACATGAAAATTTTAAAATGTTTGTGTAGAATTTTTGCTATTTGGCATTTTTTGAGTTTGATTGTATTATGAGCGGCAGTAGTAGAATGACCGCGCTGAAACATTAAAGAGCCCAAAGCATATACAACGCCGCTGGCGTTAGAACTGCTCGTTGGTTGGAAAGCGGGGGCTGTGAAACGCGCCCAACACACAATCACGTGCGCACGGCGCACAATAACAAAAAGCGTCGCACACCACGCTGCCCCGTCGGCGCGCCCGCCGCTCGGACGCTGGTAACGGACCGGATATCAGAGTCCGTTAGCGGTTCGCGCATAGCGTATAATCAATGACCGTTACAGCGGCCGGCCGGCCAGATTAATTCACCGGAACTGGTCCAGCGGCATGAGCATGAGCAACATCATCCCGCATGCAGAAATCTCTCATATACGAAGCCAACCACGCACAACAAACGTACTCACTGCTTCCAGCGCGTACTAAATTTCAACGTGCGTAATAAAAATTCATATTTTTTCATTTTTAATTTTCATTTTTTTAAGCAATACTTCACGTTCCAACTGGATATCCATGAATGTGAATCATTTGATTGTTTTGGGTGTGTCCGTTGAAAAGAAACGCGCCCGCTCCCGGCAAATGAGTTAAAGAGATCGTTGTCCGTCCAGAGGACATGGATAAATAATTATATCCGGAGCGGGCGTACGAAAGGGTCCGGCACCGGCACAATTACCTAAGTGCCTGCGACATCCTGTACCATAAAGTCCTGCCCTCTCGCTTGTGTGTCTGTGTGTGTGTGTTTGCAAACGCGTGGGTCGGGCAGAGTGCCGGCGACGTCCTTTCATCCGTGCAGCGGCGCGTCGTGCATCGTGCATGTGCATATCATCATCTCACGGGCACGCCGCGCTGCGTGCATGCGAGCATGAAAGCGGCGACGGGTCGCCCACGCCGCGTTTACCTTTCTTCATTTCCCATATTAAACGCACGCGGCGAGCGAACGAACGTTCGGACCGTAACGGGCCGCGCAGCGCCGACCGGCGTCGGATGTGCGCTCGCTGCCTCACTGTTCAAACACACCTTTATATTAATAAAGCAAATATGCTACGACCGCACACACGTTTGCGGCGCCCGTGGTCCAGCCTAGCGTTGCGTATAGGCAAAAAAAATAAAAATTCTATTCGCTCCACCGCGTGTCGACTGTTTCATGTGTCAATAATTGATCGCCGGGCGGCTGGAAAAAGGTTGTGCGTTTAGTTTTAGGTTTCAATGTTTTTTTATTAATTAAACAGTTTGATAAAATTGTGTAAAGAACAGGTTGGTCGTGTAAAAGGCGCCCGTCGTGCGGGATCCCTGCACGGGACGTCGGCGTCGCACGAAAGAGGAACGGCTGGCGGCCGGCGGCGCGTGGAGGGTGTGGAGGGGATGCGGCAGCGAGTGCCGCTGTCCCGCGGAGGCACCTACCTCCGAGATCGACGCGTCAGTCGCTACCAGTACGGGACAGCCCGGCATCTCGACGTGCTCGCTGCTCGCCGTTCACAGCACGCACGCACGCTCGACACGAGAAACACGCGCGCACACCACACTCGCACCGAAAACTTTTTCCGCGCAAGCGGCCCGAAACCAATTAAAAGTAGCGGGTAGCGTAGCGCGCGCGCGCTCGCCGCGTGTAAACAACAGGTGACTGTATTCTGCAAACGCCGGCGCCGATGCTCACCGACCGCGGATTGAGACGTGCAAAACTGTGTGACATGCTTGACACTAGCGGCAAGCCGCCCGCGACACCCGCGGGCAAGAAGGCGATGAAGCGTAAGGCTAGCGCCGGCATCGGCCGTCGATCCGAGCAGAACAATAACGTCAAGCGGGCGCACTTGTCAATCGATAGCAGAGATGAGATGTTTGCTGCCTATCAACCGTGGGTCATCCAGACGTACGGCGATCTCGCCAAGACCAAAACCATCACGCTGAAGAAGTACGCGCGAATATTGCGCACGCTGCGCGGTGACGAGATTATCAGCGCTGACAACAGCAAGTTTCGCTTCTGGGTGAAGGCGAAAGGCTTTCACATCGGCCGGCCGGCGGGATACGAGGCCAGGCCGGCGGACGCTATCGTCGGACGATATAGCGTTTGCGATGCCGACCGATGCATTCCGCCCGTCAGTGAGAAACTGCAAGGATCAGCCAAGGATCCACCACTTTACGTACCAAACGCACCGTTTAAGGTAAGAATATATGCAGTTTTTTTTTTTTCATTTAGAAACAAAAAACACGTTAGCATAGTTTGTTTTGGTGGAGGCACCAGGCACGTGTTGTGATAAACATGGAAATCTCAACGTCGGCGGCAAAGCCAATATTATTTTAATTTTGCCTCGAGTGTGCTGCCGTGCGCAGCGCGACGGGCGGCAAATCCTTTTAGGAAGCGCGTATAAATTTCAGCGTATCGAAAGCAAAGCGGCGCATCACAAAGAGGTGCGATATTTTGCTTACCCTCGTTCGGGTCGCCGCGAAACCCGGCACCGCCGCCACGATGGGCGCGTGCACAGTGTACAAAGTACGCGTCGAAATTTATTACTATGCCATTCTTACCCTCGGTGAGCAAAATGCACGGATTTATACTGCGTGCCTGCCACTAGAGCAGAGTATTGTTGCACGCAAACAGATTCAGGTACAACTTAAAATTTATCATTTAATCGCTTGAATCATCAAAACTATTTATTTACATTAAGTAAATAATACAAGTCGTGTCGAGTAATGCACCTATGCAATATGATAACTTGGATGGAACAGATTTCAATAATAGTTCTCAACTTGCGCGGCATCGCCAAAGCAGCGGAAGCGCGAACAGATAAATGCGCTTATTACTGAAGCGTGCTCACGCGACTAGCACGTATGCGCTCCTCATGTGCTCATACTCAATTCGGTATCTCCTGCTACGCTGCTCGTCGGTCGTCACAAAGAGACACACGCTGCTGTTTCTCCTGCCGCAGCCGCGTCGGATCGCAGATGCGGGCTGGCAGGCGGGCCTCTGTGTGTGACTAAAAGGAAAGAGGCGCGTTGCGCTGCCGCCGGCTGATGACTGTAGACTTTGTCACCCACACCAGCGACGCAACACCGCACGCGGCACGACGATGACATCGTCGTCCCCCATTGCGCCCCAGCAAAGCATAGCGCGCGCGGTAGCGGAGGCAGCGATGCTTTCTGCCACTTAACCGTCTCTCCCTTGTGCCGGGCGCGGTGCGGATGAAGAAAGCGAAGCGAGAGCGCCTGGGAGTACTGCTTCCATAGCTTCTACAGCTTCCACTTCAATTTGATTCCCCCATATATCGATTTATTCAAGGTGGTAGCATTTCGAGGCACGACCGAATTAAAAGCCGAAAGCGAAAATCGTAAAAGAAAACACTATCGATGTGTGTTGACATTTTTTGTAGTGTGTTAAATGGCTGAATTCACACCCTTTGAATTTTAATAATTTCTGGTGTGGTTGGCGTGTTTTCGGATGATGCGCGCGCTCGTGAAAAATATCGCAACAACGGCATAAAATTCATATTTACATTATATCGCTTTTCCGCCTGCCGGCGCTCGCGTGGCGCAGCAAATTTCTCCCTAAAGCGGCGCAAAATGCCAATACTGTGCGCGACCACAATTATTACGTCATCCGAGGCGTAATCGGCGTGCATGTGCGCGCGTGGGCCACGCTCCGCACTGAGACGGATTTACGCTCTTCGGCGCGAGCGTGTGTGTGGTCATACACGCGGCAATTAAACCCGCAGCGGCGTTCAGATTGCGCGTATAACGCACGCAGCCGGTCGGACCATCGCGGGCCATCGTTTATATTCTTTATAAAGATAAACACGACGACGACGCGGCGTTTGCCGTTTCCACCTGTGATGGGTCGGCCGGGTCTTTGTCGCAATAGTGCGCGGGATTCTCTTGGGTCTCGAAACTTCTAAGCACCTGTTTGACTTTACTTTTAATGGTCTCGGGGACGTGTGCGCTCCGGTGAGAATTGCGCCGATATCGCAAGCGCCGCACACCAATTATTTAATTTTTATTGCAAAACTTTTCGATTTTATTTTATTTGTCATATATTTTATGCAACAGAACGAAACTATTTTCGGTGGCGGTAATAAATCTGCAATTGATACGATTTAATGCAAAACGTCGGAACAAAGAAACTAGAGCGCACAACACTGGCGGCGGATTACGGGCGAGCACAAAATTTGAATATCGAAGCTAAATTGCTCTCGGTGTCCGTGGCGCACGAACGCGCGGAGGGTTCGCCCCGAGTGCGCGACGCCCGCACTCCGCTTTCCGGCTGAGGGCGGCGGAGGGTTAGGTCGAGCGCTGCCGGCGGTGGGTGGCTTGTCGGTAGTAAGTGCCGCGCGTCGGCACGGGAAAAGCGAAAACCGACCCCGTTTTCGCTACCTACTCACGCACACACGCCCGCCGTCACTCGAAGTTTTGCAAGCAGCAGTAGCAGCGGCGGCGAATGCTCTGATGTATATCTGTATATACGACGGTGGCGGCAGCAACGGAGGCGGCGTTACCTTTTCCGACAATAACTCCGCGCTGCCGAGATATTCCGCTCCAGCCGGCAACGCGGCAAAAATGGAATTACGTTACACATTAAAATGTATTAATCATACGCTTTGATGAAACGAGCGCCGCCGCCGCCGCCACCGAGTTCGGCGCCCGGGCCTTGTCTGGCAAAGGCGGCGCGCGTGGTTTCTTAACTCCTTTTGTTTGCGGCGAGACTGGAAAACCGGATAGAGAATTCTGCGCCAAATATCATCAAGCGCACACAGTTCTGGAAACTAGAATAATGTCTGTGTTTATTTTTTTCCGTTCGGATTTTATCCGCGCCGAAATGCAGAACTAATGACGCATCAAGTAAAGAAGCGAAACTAAGCCCAAGTTAATCTAGATTGGTGGCGGTTTGCCATGCGGTTTCTGAAACTCTGGGTGTTAATAGCCGAGGACGCACAAGTGACAGGCATGGTGGTAGCAGTGGCGGCAGCAACGGCAGCGTTAATACAGTGCGGGTGACAGATCGATGTTCATATAAATGGCCCCGTCGGATGTGGAGCTCAGCCCGCCCGGTGGTGGTGCGTTGGCCTCGTTATCGGCTTCTCGAGCGTCGTCTTGGTTAATCACCCGTGTGCACCGCTTTCCGTTCGCTGCTACATCGATAGTTTGGGAAAGAAAAATAATTTCTCAACTTAACATATTCTTCTTCAGATATTCCTCCGCGTGCAATAAGGTAGCCGACGTAATAAGGCCGATTATCACCCTCGGTTTGCAGCTGTATTTGTCGAAAAGCGAGGAATCGGAATACGTGATAATCAAGTGTTATATCAGCCTACGGTGTACTCCGTATGCGGCCCACATAAAGCAAGCGAGTGCGCGCCGTCAGAGATGGAAGCATCAGTAAGCATTCCGCATCTGGAATCCGCACTATCTTTTCATAAAGTCGCGGTGCGATGGCGGCGGCAGGCGGTGTGGCCTGGTGTGAGTGTACGAAGCGAGCGTCTGGCGGCGGGCGACGTCAGCGTCGAAGCGCAAATCCCCCTTTTCGACGAGCGCGCGGCACAAACATCCAACTGTGTGGGTGAGCGCGAGGCGGGCGCGATTCTTGTGTGCGTCGTGTACGTGTCGGGGCGCCGTCGCCGTCATTTCATGAATGAGAGCGCCTAAAGCCTCGGGCGCCGATACGCGCCGCGGCTTCCGCCCGTAATCTCCGAAAGCTGCGCGGCGAGCAGCGGCACGGAGCCGGGGAGCCCTTCGCGCGTCGTTCCGAGGCGGTTACAACGCGACTCGCGCTCGACGCCAGTTAACGCTCGTTACGGGCGACGACTAACGGGAACAGACTGCCGGTGTCGGTGCCGCTTCGAACGATACACGTGCCCATAAACCCACTATACTTATCGATTTCTTTCCTCTGCGCTCGATGAACAACTTTTTTTTTTGCGGTTCTTGTTTTTATCTCGGACGCAAAGTGCGCAAATTACACACACACCTATATATCGATAAACGACGGCCGACATTGCCGCCAGTCGGGGGCTATCATCCCGAGAGATGAAATAGTCGGCGCGCGATAACTGATCTGGCTATCAGAACACGTAGCGTGCGGAGGTCTTCTCGGGTACTGTTGAGTGTTTGCCCACTCGAAATCGTTCTTCCAACAACAATTTCCGACCATCTACAATTCCACACGCTGCGCTAGCCATCGGTCTTGTTAGCATTGCCGACAGATGCGACGGCACTTGATCGAAGACGTAGTTTTATTCGCGAGCCGGCAACGATTTTATTATCAATTCCTAGGCGAGCGCTTCCGACGCATTAAAATACACTTTCCGTGTACGCGCGTACAGGAACTCATTTCGTATACGAAAATGAGATTAATGTATTCGCGTAGCGGCAGCGAGTTGTGTCTTTCGGGGCCGGATGCGCGAGACGCCTGCGATTTTTCCATGAATTTTCCAAACGTGCTAGTCCCACGAGTGGGAAAATCAACGGAATCCCGCAGCACACGAAACGCGCACAGTCGAATAACATCGCGCCGCGGCTTCCGAATCGATTTTATGTATAACACGTTGCGATGCGAGCGCGTATTTTTTACGCAATTATTTCGTATGGATATGTTCGTTATGAGAATCGAATCAGGAAAAATGCGAAAATCCACTTTTCAAATTCCACGCGTATTTTCGCAAAAATATGCCAGCGTGTAGCGTAAAATCCACCCGCTAGCATTGAAGCGTGACTAATTAGTTGCCAGGAGCTAATAAAAAGGCTGGGATCTGCATTGTGCGCGCGCCGCGAGATTTCGCACAATGGCGTTAAGATTATAGTAATTTAGCATCGGGCGGACTATCTGATTCGGAGTAATCTGCCCAGCGTCGCGCGGAAAAACGAAAAGCAGGCTAAGGCCACGCACAACACAACGACGCTGCGAACAACGACGTTAATCGCTCAATAATTGCCGCCGACTTGCCGACGCATATTTGCTATTATACAACACGCAACTTTTCCTACCTTCTTCCCGCATTAGCTCATTAAAGTTTATTCAGTTTATTTCCCGAAATAGTCGGTTGCGGGCTCCATCAGGTTGTCAAGTCTTGTTCTATTGCCGCCATAACTGCTTACTAAAGTGACGCACCCGGAAAATAAGGATAAATGAGCTGCAATCGAAACGCGACGGGTTGTTAGGGTGAACGCGCGCGTT